TTAGAAATGGTGAATTAGTGAATTTTCTCCGAATCCATGGAAGAAATGGCAAAAACTATAACTTTACCAAGCATTCTTATTTTTAAGCTCAAGTTTTCAATCAAAGATTTGGAAGGAAACACTTGCCTCCTAGAATTTCAGAGAGTGGATAACGGATGCATGTACTTTGGCACAAGTTTTCAGCTGAAGAATTACCAAAAAAAAAAATGTAATAATGATAATGGAAAATGACCAATATTTTTTATTTGCTAGTTCATGGTTAAAATGACTTTTAATCCACTGACACCATTGTGATTTCAGTTTTTAGAGAACTTACGCAAAAACTTGTGACAAATGAAAAAATTATAATGGTGGAACCGACTCACATAGGTGTAAAACGTAATTACAAGGAGACGTCTCCAGACTAATTTTTTTTTTACTACAAACTCTCTACTTAACCCATGTGTAGCACTTTGAAGGATTTAAATCTGGTTAAGCCATTAAGATTTATACTGGAGTTGTCATCTTATATATTGCCTATTTAATTATCCCTAACCTCACAGGCCACTATGTTAGTCCCTTAATTTGTGAAGTCTTCATAATTATCTTCAAATGCCAGTATTTCTTCTGCCTCATGATTAATTAGTGTATGCAACTCATCCCAAATGTGCCTACAGATCCAGAGAATTTTTAAGAAATGAGATATCTCACCACTTTGTAAAAGCCCATTAAAGCAATTTAGTCCAGAAGAAGCACTTTGAACAAGCACTTTATAGCAATCCCATGTGTAGTAGCTACACATCCAGAGTCCAGACCATTTTGAGTAAGCCCTTTAAAGCAATTCAGTCCAGAAGAAGTCTCAAAGGCACATAGGAAAGTCCTCGAGACGTCCCACTTGAGAGAATTGAGTCCCCCAAGGCATCAAGAAAAGTTCCCAATGCAATGCTGCCCTAGAAAGAGGAAAGCTGCATCTAGGCAACTACTCATTACAAGAAAAGTGGGATTTTTATTTTTATTTTTATTTTTGGAGAACAATTCTTTAATTAGATAAAGGTCAAGGAAGAAATTATTGGATTGTTCTAATTTATTTAGGTTTTTTTTATTTTATTCGGAGAACAATTCTTTAATTAGTTAAAGTAAAAAGGCTTCCAGGGAAGAAATTATTGAATGATGCTAATTTATTACTTGAGTTTACTGATTTAGTGATAATAATAAAGATGTTGTAGAAATATTAATTTATACTCTATCAACTGATCAATAAATAATGATCTACAGTGTCTACTAATACATGTAAAATAAAATTTTATTTAAATATGACATAATGTTGATTTAAATAATACAGTCAACATTTGCTCCGTTTTTCACTCACACCCCCAAAAGTTAGTTGACAGGTGTGTCAGATCACTTTTTACATGTAAAAAGATATTCTTACCCTTTGACTTTGGTTTGACCCATTTAATTATTTCTTTAATGATTGAAATGACATATTTACCCTCATTCAGATGACATATTTACCCTTCTTTGCCATTGAAATCAACTAACCGCTTCAGCCATCGTATATCTTGGCTCCAAAAGTAATTAGTGGCTGAAAAAGTTGCCTTGGCTCCAAAAGTGGCTCAAAAAGTAGTCGTTACAATTAAATGACTCCAAAGTAACCGTTGGTGGTTGCATTATAAATACACACTGCACTTATTCATACATGCGTGAACTGCTTGCACTTCATACATGCTTGAAGGCTCGAAAGAAAGGAATAAGGTGTGCATTTGGTAAGAAATTTTTTGAGAAATTGTAATTTTGTTTGTAACCTATAATTACAATTTTTTTTTTACAAGTAATTCCTTTATAATTGTTTGCTGATTTGAACCTCATAAATGTGAAAAAAAAAAAAAAAAAAAAAAAAAAAAAAAAAAATGTATGTAAATTTGAGGGTGATATTTTGAAAAATATTTTTAACCTGTAATTACAAATTATATTTTTGAATATGTAATTGCCAATGCCAATATTTTTTAACCTGTAACATGTATATTTTCAAGTAAACAGGGGCAATCAAGTGTGTGTTGCCAATGTTCAGAACTAAAATATGTTCATGTGGAAGAAGAGTAGCATTGAGGGTATCTCATTCAGACAAAAATCCTGGAAGACACTTCTACAATTGTTATAATGGAAGATGCGCATACTTCAGATGGTTGAGTCCTAAGGATGTACTTGCACCGAATGCTATTACTAATGTGAATGCTGCTAATGTCAAAAATGGAATCAGGAATGACATTATAGATGGCTTAATGTCTTTGATGAGGTCAATTGTGTATGCAAGCATGGGCATTTGTATTATAGCTATCCTAACAATATTCATTGCCTTTCTATCTAAATAAAATAATTAGTGTTCTATTATAATCAGTATATAGTAATGCAACACAACTACAATATCAAAGCATGCATACAGTCTTTAACTAAGTCAAAACCATTTTTCAGATCAAAATATAATCCATCAAATATCACAAACTTTAAAAGCCAAAAAATACATCCCTTCAAATCCATTACCAACAGCCACATAGCTAAGTTTAAATATCTCTTCAAATTCATTACAAAACTTTCAAAATAACCAAAAAGGTATTCCCCATTGCATATCATTACTTGCATAACCCAAAAGTATCCCCCATATCTACTTGCATAACCCAAAAAACTGTGCTGTGTGTGAAATTTAGCCTGTGCAAAAAATTATGTTAGCACTGTGCAAAAAGTCATGTTTACCATAGACTATGTCCTAATTCCTGTTGTAGTAGGTAAAGTGGTGCAACATGGAGTCTAAATGCTTTATGTTGCTCTTGCTGGTTCCATAAATATTGAAGTTGAACCCTGAATAACAAGGACATAAATATAAACATAAACTGAAATGCACAAAACTTTATAAATTATTTTGTTAAATGAATAATCTCAGACAAATATGAATAATATACCTGAGTGCCTTGTGCTGTTGGTGGTACTGCTACTGTTTCTGTTGCCCTATTTGTTGAATCCTGAAATGAAAACAAAGCTTCATAATTTATACCTATACCTGTTAAAATGAATAATATCAGGCATATATGAATTATATACCTGAGTGCCTTGTGTTATTGGTGTTGTTGCTGCTGTTTCTGCTGCCATACTTCTTGAACCCTGAAATGAAAACAAAAGTTCACAATATAAATATAAACTGAAATAAAAAAAAGTTTTACAATATAAATCAAAACTTTAAGAGATGAATTAAATACCTGAGAACCTTGTGCTGCAGCTCCAATCCTTCTTGATCTTCTTGGTACACTTTTCCTCCTCCTTACTATTGGGGTTGTTGATGATGATGGGCCTGCTGTTGCATTTACTTTTGCTGCTTTCACTTGTGATGCAGTAGGAGCCTTTTCACATCCCCTCTTGTTGTGTCCAAACACACCACATATGCTGCAAGTGATAACACTTGACCTTCTAGTTGCTTCTGGTTCACCAACTTCCCTCTTTCTTTTCACTCTAGGTCTGCCTATTGGTCTTTTGAGAATTGGTGGCTCCAATGCTGCTTTGTTAACCTCAGTCCACATAGTGTCATGGTGCAGTGGGTGTATAAAAGTACTGTAAGTCTTTGCATATGTACTCTTACTGTAGAAATCTGAACAAAAACTCTCAAAATCATGCCTTGTGTGTGTAGTTACATCTTCATCTAGTTCTAGCAACATTCATCAGTACAATTACGAATTTGAAAATAAATATTAAATGCCACAGAACCTTTCTCATGGCACACTTCATCACGCAGCAAGTAGGTAACATGAGTATTCAGTGACAAATAACTATACTTATCAGGATTAATGTTTCCTATGACATATATGTGTCCCTCATAGTGAACAATGATATCATGCAAAGTATCAGATGCCATTTGAATCTGGCATAAAAAAAAAAAAAAAAAAAAAAAAAAAAAAAAAAAAAAAAAACAAATAATCATGCTAACAAACAAAACTAATTGCTAATAGCCAAAATAAAGAATGGTAAAAGTAATTGCTAACAATCAACAAACCTTAATCCAACAAAAATAAACATGTTAAAAGTAAACCCAAATGTAAACCCTAAAATGACCCAAAATTTGGGTTAATAAACCCTAATTTTGGGTGATTTCAGAGATAATTAACCTAAAGTAGGGTTAATCCAGCAAAAGCCCAATCAATTAACCCTAATTAATTATGGGGGTTTTGCTAGAATTAAGGTTAATTACACCATCTTATTCCACGAAAAAAGAAGATCTTAATTGCGTAATAACATGCAGAAAACAAAACAATAACATAGCAATGATTAGATTAGGGTTCTTGAAAAAAAAACAAAACCTGAGATTAACGTTCAAACGACTCTGAAATGGGTCAATTATACATGAAAAAGACCTGAAATGGACTTGATCGGCGGTACACAGTTGGATGAAAGGTATATGGCTCTGGAACTAGGCTTTGATGGTATGAAATATGGACCCTAGAACTACGACTCTAAAACTAGCTAGGGTTTCATGCTTTTGTTAATCTATGGATCGCATCTGTAGAGAAGAGAGAGAGTGGTTTTGATCTGTAAAGAAGATAAAGAATGGTTTTCATCTGTAAAGAAATGAGAGAGTGGTTTTGATCTGTAGAGAAGAGAGACAGACAGACAAGCGTCCGATACAGATAGAGATAGAGGAGAGAGAAGGTGTCTTTGTGTATTGGCGGGAGAGTGGGTAGGTGAGAGTTTAATGAGAGGTATAAAAGTCATTTACCATATCTGATATTTTGTATTAAATCTAATTAAAAAATTAGGGGCAAACATGTCTTTTTTCACGTTTTTAACGGAACTAAAAGATATTTTAGACTGATATTCGGCCAAATTACTGGGAGGTATCAGTGAAATTAACCCTAAAATTTATTAACTAACAGGTTAAATACAATTTGAATATCCCTTAAAAAAAAATTAAAAAAAAATAAAATTATTACCACTAATTTTTTTTTTATTTATTTTAACATAGTAAGATTTATTCAGTTTACGCGGAAGTTTGATGGGCATGACAAAATCAAGCAGAAAGCTGTAGATGACGAGAGAACCTTGTTCGCATCCATTTCACTGCGTCACACGACAAAATCCTCCATATATTCTTATCCACTCTCATGTTATTTTCCTGTAGTAGAAGCCGTTGGAGAGATGAGAGAGATTCATACTCTTCTTGCCTGGTGCTTTTACAACACTTCAAATTTCGAGAATTGGGGAAATGGGTTTTTATGTAAACTGGTCCAATGCGTTTAATCTGACGTTTGATTCGTGGATTAGTGCTGTTGCGGAGACAATTTTGGTTTCTGAAATTGGGTTTGAGGTGTGACCACACCTTTTCAGGTAACTGTTTGTTTTGTTCTTGGTATGTATCCTTGAGAAATTTGATGCATAGTTTGTGAATAAAAATGTATATGATGAAATAATCTCTGATGGGTTTTAAGAGGTGTTGTAAATCTTGAGTTTATCAGCAGCAAAATCTGGTACTGGGTTGGTAAAATTGAAACATTTGAAACTTGTATTTTGAATATGTAGGTAGAATTGAAACAATCGAACTTGAGTTAATTGAATATTTTGTGTGATGGGTGTCATGAGAAGTAAATGAGGTTGAAGTATTAGTTTTTAAATTTAAGTTTTTGATAGGTGAATGAAAGGGTGCTTGGTTTCGATTTGATGTTTCAAAGAGGGTGAAAATGGAGATGAGTATGGTGGACAAAACCAGAAGTGTGATTGAAAATCTGGTTAGAGAAGGATCATTCAAATGGTTGATTAAAACCCGAACTTTCTTTGGTGAAGAGTTTGAGGAGATGGGAAAGTCTCAATCTTCTGGAAATAACTGGATTACAGAGCTCGCTCCTATGGCAAATCTAGTGGTTCGTAGATGCTCAAAGTAAGTGACATAGAACTTTATATTATTCACTTATGTTTCCATTGGTTCCTAAATTTTGTGTTTTACCTCTATTTTGGAACTACATATATATAGTTCTTAAACCATTTTTCAACCAGACACGCTATGCCCATGTTTTCTGGACACAGTTTTTCACTGCCTTCAGTTTATGTATGCCAAATATTCATCTTATTCTTATTTATTAGTGTCCTTGTGGACAACAAACCACAAATGTTGCAGAATCCTAGGAATTTCTACGAGTGAACTTCAAGAAAATTTTAATGCCGAGGCTTCTGATTCTATAAAGCATCCATCACTGTATGCACGCAATTTTTTGGAATATTGTTGCTTCAGGGCTCTTGCTCTGTCCACACAAATAAAAGGTTATCCAAATGATAAGAAGTTTCGACAACTAATATTTGACATGATGCTTGCTTGGGAGTTTCCAGCTGCTTCTGGCCAACTATTGGACAATGTAAGTTTATTTTGTTTTCTAGTAATCTCTGAACGTTATGGTAGCGGTATATACCTTTATAGTACATTGGAAGGAAAAATAAGGTTGGTTCAGCCAGTTCCAAATTTTTTACATATTCTTCTTTTTCTTTTTCTTTTTTTGTTCTTTTGTTTTTGTTTTTATTTTTATTTTTGTTTGTGTGTCTATTAGATTGGATCTCTCACTCTATTTATATATTTTTCTATGTTCTTAAGAAAAGAACTTCTGATTTTTAGTATGCTTTCTTCTAGTTTCTTCTTACAGTAGCCCTCTCCTATATATCCATGTAATGGAGTATCTTTTTCTCCCTGTTTTTCTGTTCTGACATTATTTTTTGCCCTTTTGACGTTGTCAGATTCATGATGTTGTTACTGTTGGGGTAGAGGCCTTTTCTCGAATTGGTCCAGCTGTTCCCATCATTGCCAATGTTATTATCAGTGATAATCTTTTTGAAGTGCTTACAGAATCAACCGCTGGTCGGCTTCAGTTCTCTGTCTATGAGAAGTACCTTAGTGGATTAGAAAGGTTACTTCTTACTCCATTAGTAGTAAGCCTGATATGTCGTCATTGTTAAACGTTAATTTTAATTTTATTGAACATAATAATATTCTGTGATTTGATTTTTATTTTCTGGTTGTAGCATTATTCACTTCCATTTTTAATTCTTTAGGAAAGAGGAAAATTCCAATAATAAAGCAATCATGTATTGTATTGCCATCATTTTTCTAGTTGGATGTATTGCCAAAAATTTCAAGAATTGGTTTTTATATCTATATATTACATCTTCCTCTGTTATATGCTTATGATAATCCACTATGTAGAAGGGTGTCTTCTACTATGTAGAAGTTTATATGATAATCAATAGTTAGATTTTCCCTCTACAAGGTTGGTTGTGGCCTCCATAACCTTTTCTCTTTGTGTACTTGATACAATTTTCACCAGCAATCATGAGAATTAAATGTCTTAATTTTGTACGACACAGATATTCAAATTTATATGTCAAGTCTTCATTTAAGCTGAGTCTTATGCAGTAGTTATGCTTCAAAATAGGAACTACATGCTTTAGCTTTTATGTTACTATAATTATAAATTAAGGAAGGCTATTCTAAGTGTAAAGAAACAAGAAAGTGTGCATCAGAAACAAAGAAGCAAAGAAAGAAAAAGGAGTTAGCATGCTTAGGAATGCAAGGCTCTGTTCAAACTGGCAACTGTATGCTAAACTGAAAACTACGTTGACCCTTGTTTTCTTTGGATATACTCTTGTTGAAACTCAGAATTTGTAATTTGGTGGTTTGACAAATCTCACACATACATGTTACTCTCACAAAAATAAGTGTACATGAGTGCACTTAACTGATGGGAGATATTCTGATGACGTTTTCTTGAGTCTCCGTTCAAGTTTCAAGCTTAAATAATTTATCTTATCATGAATTTATAAATAAGGTCACATCAAATCCAACTTCTAAATATTAATTTTTTTTGTCTTTCTTAAAGGGCGATAAGAAAATTGAAGACCCAATCAGAGTCATCTCTCCTTTCTGCATTTCGATCAGCAAAAGGAGAAAAGGTTCTGGAAGTGGAAGGGACAATCACCAGCCAGCCGGTTCTTCAACACGTGGGAATTTCTACGTGGCCTGGTATATTTTTGTGATAGTTCAACTCTTTAGTATTCAAAATGCTACTTTATATATATATATATATAATTTGATGAAAAAAAGGGGTCAGGTGACATGGTGAAAGCTTAGACTGCCCACTGTAAGGAGACTTTTTTAAGTATCAGATCAGCCATTTCGTAGGCTGTAAACAAGCTGAGTCAAGCCAACTTTCTAGAGCTTATGCTCAGCTTGGCTGGTTAGAAGCAGTGTCTGAGCTCAGTTTGAGCTTGGTTAATTTTTCAACAGTTGTGATCAGACTTGACTCACTCAAATAAACCAATTCCTCAGCTCGGCTCGCATAAATCAATTGAGTTCTTAAGAAGTTCTGGAGGATAGGAAATTTCAAGCCTTGTTATCATAATTGTTGGTCAAAATAAAATACACGCGTCATGCTTTGCAACTTCTCACTGTTGGAGCAAAAGATAGAGAAAGTGTGTCTGTGCGACTGTAGATTCTTAGTTTTAATTGTTGATTAATTTTGGACCATTGACTTCTTCTTTTTCTGTAAACAAATGAATATCAAATCTAAAAGATAGGTGAAAGGCATGAAAAACTTAAATTAACAGGATAATCTGCCAAGGAATGCTCTACGATGTCTCTAATTACAACAATACCAGAGTCAAGAGCCAATTTGAGTTGACATGGAACCTGTTTGTAACTAATTGAGCTCAGTTCATTCGCATGATGGGCCTAGACTTCAGATTGAGCTTGGCTTGGTTCATTTAATGAATGAGCTTGAGTGAGCTGTTAGCAAGACAAGCTATAACAGCTTGCTCAAGCTTGAGCTGAGCTTGAACAGTTTGAATTGAATTATTGTCCTACAATTGCATGCTGATAACATCAAGGTTATGTCTGTCCTCAGTCTGCCCTCCTGGCATCCAGCATTAGCATGGCCAACTCTAGATAATGACCTTTTCTCATTATAAGTTGTAACAAATAAATCTACATTTGACCGGCCATGATTATTTCTACCAGAAATTTGATTGTAACCTAAGTGCATGTGGTACAAGTGTAACTTGACAAAGGGAATTAGAAGTTGACACTCTCTGCAGCTTTTGTACATTTCTAATTTATGTTTTGTAAATTGCAGGTCGATTAGTTCTGACAGATCATGCAATCTACTTTGAAGCACTTCGTTTACTGTCTTATGACACAGCCAAAAGATATGACTTGTCTGATGATTTAAAACAGGTTATTAAACCAGAGTTAACAGGACCACTGGGAACTAGACTTTTTGACAAGGCAGTCTCGTATAAATCAATATCCTTGTAAGGAATGATGCATATCTATTTCATTTATAGGTCATAATCTTCAGTTTCAACTTTTTTACATTTTAAACTTTCATGTATTATACATATGGTTTTTGTAGTTTCCCATAATCTGAAAGCTTATTTATATACCAGAGAATGTGGTTAAATTGTTCCTTTTTTTATTTCTGCTGTAGATCAGAACCGGCTGTGATGGAGTTTCCTGAACTTAAAGGACATACTCGTCGTGACTATTGGCTAGCCATCATTCGAGAAATACTATATGTCCACAGATTTATACATAAGTTTCAGATTACAGGAGTTGAACGGGATGAAACACTTTTAAAGGCCATACTTGGAATTCTGCGAGTACAAGCCCTTAAAGAAATAAGTTCTTCTATCCCTCTCTGCTGTGAGTCTCTTCTTATGTTCAATCTCTGTGATAAACTTCCAGGTGGAGACCTAATTCTGGAAACACTTGCAAACATGTCAACCTCAAGGGAATCATACCGGACTAACAATTTTATTGCTAAAGGTGGAATGTATTCAATATCATCTTTGGCCATGGCTTCTAACTTAGGCTCTGTGTTTGGAATGAGTTCAAGTGTTCCCAATGAGGCTGGGCTTGTTGTGGGGGAAATTGCTGTAGGAGAGATGACTTCACTGGAAAGATCAGTCAAAGAGTCTAAAAGCAGCTATAAGGAGGTGGTGATTGCACAAGAAACAGTTGATGGAGTTAAAGTAAATGACATTGAGACCAATTTGGCAGTCATGAAGGTGTTGCTAGAAATACTTCTTTGTTTTTTTTTTTCAAAATTGATAAGGATTTTAAGCGATTGGATGTGAGTATAACAACCAATCCCCATATAGTTGGTGTAGCCAAAAAGAAGCTGCTCTAGGAAGCAGCCTTCGAACTGAATAAATAGAATGAATCCATTACATGGCCAATTTCTACTAATTGCAGTTCATAAACAGACTGAATTAACACAAATGATATGTCATTTCTATTTTAGTCTAACTGTTTGGGGTTGGCAACTTGAATTCTGCCGTACTTTACTTTCATCTCAATAAACTGTGGCTGGAACCATGAGATTTCTTCTTGACAGCTTCTAAATTTCACATGTATCTGCAGGAGTTACTATCCCCTGTTACAGAACTTGGGAAGTGGCTTCTTTCTCTGGCATATTGGGAAGACCCTTTGAAGTCTATGATATTCTGCTCGGTTTTCACGTATGTTATTTGCTGGTAAGGTTTTTATTTGAAGACTTATTTTCTATTCTGTTGGTCATTTGGACAGCGTGACTGCATGATAAAAATGCAGTAGAGTTGCTATCATGGGCTTTATACTTGAATAAGGCTAAGTGTTTCACATTCTAAATGAAAGCAATTCCAGCATTTTGGTTAAGTAGCTGTAATACAAAGGAGTGATATTAAGATTTTAAAAATAATTTGCGGTAGTATATTTCAGGCGATCGATTGAAAATGTGGCACAGGAAATTGCGTTAAGCTGTTATGTTATTGTCTTTGGATTTTTATGGGAGTACATAAAATTTGGTGAAGCCTTGTTTTCTTGGCCTTGGCTTCTGGCAAGTTCCAACAAGTTTGGAGTTTGTTATCATTTTGCCTTTGTGCATTTGATGTAGAGCATGTTTTTCTATTTAGTCTTATCCTAGTTCTAGAAGTTGAACGGCCTAATTATGTAATCAATCATCCAATTTAGTAGGGACCGTAGGGTCTATTGTATTTAGAATTTGAGAGATGGTTCTGAAGTTTTGATTGATTGTGTGATGCAACTTTTTCTATTGGCAAAGTCTGAGGGATTCTAGGTAGGATCTTAGAAGAGATTTTTTGTATTCTCTTTGTTCAATTCACTTTCTGCTACCAGATTTATTGTCCCCACTCCCCTTCTCCACTTTTCATCCTGAGGCCTAGATTCATTAGGAAGCCCTCTATCCTACAAATTTGACCTTTAATTGAACTCTAGAACTCTTAATAGCTTTGGTCCAAAATTTTCTGCAACTACTTTTTTGGGAATCTAAAAAGTGATACATTGAGGACCAAGAAAATACTCTTCCAGTCCACAAAGCCTACTACCTATCAATGTGTTAGTGGGGAGCATTCATCCAAGTTTTCTAGTGTTGTCCAAGTTAATTTGGTACTAGAGCTTGTACAAATTGCTTTTATGCCCTTGTTACACATCTGTATTTGAAACAGCAATCAAATTTGACCATGGAGGCTTTGATTCAATAGGATGAGGGGTGTATGCAGCTAGCTAGCATTTTTACCTAAAAAGCTGCCTCCTGAAGTTTAAAAATTGGAACTAATTGCCTTCATTTAGAAGATAAGAATTTGTGCCATTGGAAAAAGGGAAATCTTGGAGTGGGATTATCATTGCTGCACAAAACCGGCCTGTCACTGTAGAACATCCTTTCAAAATCAGAAAGGTGACTCTTTCATTTATGTTAAAGGGTCCTCTATTTGCAAAATGGAAGTGGAAGTTTGATTTAGAGGTGTAGAGAGATGAGTTTCATGGAAGTTTTAACTTATCTGTCCATAAGCTTGAAGCACAATTCTGTTTCAAATTTTCCGTTTGTGAAGCAAGTGAGAAGCAATGCTATGATATATATGTATATATATAGATACATAGCAGCTTAATGATAATTTGAAGAATGTTTAAGTGATTCATTAAAGTGGTAAAAAAAAATAAAATAAGTGATTCATAAAAACATGAAAATCATGTGCTTTAATATTTTGGTGGGACAACAGTAATCGATGTTATATTCACATAGTATAAATTCATACTTGCGTGAATATATATACATATATACATATATATATATATATATATATATATATATATTCACATACTGTGTCTTTGTAATGTGGAATGAATAATAAGGGAAGTTTGTAAAAAGATGAAGAGAAAGTTGAACCAAGAAATAAATAAAGAACTTGTCCTGCACTTGGACAGTTTTTTTTTTTTTTTTTTTTATATTTGCGCATAGATTTACTAGATATGCATTTGCAGGGGATGGTTGAGTTATGCCTTTGCGTTGACATTCATCTTTATGGCTGTGTTTATGGTACTTACTCGGTGCTTCAGTCAAGGAAGGTCTGTTAATGAACTGAAGGTAGTAGTACCTCCGGCCATGAACACCATGGAGCAGCTTTTGGCTGTTCAAAATGCCATTTCACAGGCTGAAGAGCTCATCCGGGATGGAAACATTGTTCTTCTCAAGTTACGCGCCCTACAGTTGTCCATTTTCCCTCAGGTTTAGTTTACTTGTGCCCTTTCTAGCTTGCACGTTTTTTTCCTTTCTGCGTTTCTCTACATTATAGAGGGTTTGATCTATATTCTATGGTGAATTAGCAATAAATTTATTGCATGAGTGTGACTCCCCACTCTCCTTTCCCTCCAAACCCCCCCCCCCCCCCTAAATGGCTTTGTACTCTTTGGCCAAATAATTTGAAACAAAAGGAATAAAATGGATATATGACATGGTTGTGCTTTTCAGCCAATTACAAACCATTTTCTGCTGTCTATGATCAGTCACCAAATAAAAATTTAACCTAAGAGGAGTTGCAACCTCGTAAAATGAAAGGTACTTACATGGCTAGTGAGTAGTGAAGCATTGCTAGAAGCTACTCCATGTGTGCCTGGTCTCAAAATTCAGTAGTTCATACGCAGTACCGTTATCTTGAACTAGATATTGCAAGTTAAATCTTTGGGTAACACTGGTGGTTTTTTTTTGTCCAGGCAAGTCAGAAATGTGCAGTTCTTCTTCTGATCACGGCCTTGATTATGGCCTTTGTACCAGTTAAATACATAATTCTACTGGTCTTTTTGGATGCATTTACAATGTATTCGCCTCTGCGGAAAGCAAGCACGGAAAGATGGACAAGAAGATTAAGAGAATGGTGGTTCAGTGTACCAGCAGCTCTTGTTGTTCTAGAAAGGGCAAAAGAAAATAAAAAGAAAAGGTAATCTAATTTACTTGTTAATGTACATATGTTATTGTACTACGATATATATATATATATTCTTAATATCATAGGAGAGGATTTCTCAAGTGTGTAAATCTGTACAATTGAAATGGAAACACAATTAGGAGAATACAAATCAACTATGTGCAGAAGGATGCAACGTGATTTTTATCATGAATTAATGTATCATCCATCTTATGCTATTTTACTTCGAAACTTCCAATCTATAACATGAAGGTTCTAGTCATCCTTTGTCTCCATTTTCTGCTGTGTGTTTTGGTACCCTTGGTTTATACTGACCCCATAGTTTTTATAGGAACATGACCAGTTGACACTGTATGTTACACAATATTATTCTCCAATCATGTGTTTTGGAGCATTATTGAATTAGTCATTAGAATTGATGCTTCAGTGGGTTTTATAGTGTAATTAGAAACCAGTAGCAAAAACTGCAAATTAATCGACGCCTTGTTGCTAGCTTTATAACCATCATAAAATTCCTCTTTTGATGGTCTTTACTCGCCTTCAAAAGGAGAAGGTCGAGGGTTCAAGTCCCTGAAGAGGCAGAATTTTTAATCCTTGCAACAAAAAATTGAAAAAAACAGAAAGGATCATTGAGATATGATTGATATTATTGAAGACAGACAAAGGTACATTTAAAAACTAAATACCTAGTCCTCCCTCCGCGATCACCCAAAAATGGTTTATTAGATTGTAGATGACTAATAGCATCTAATGAATAAATGAAATGACTATGAATCCTATGATATTTTTTTTTTGTAAGAATACTATGAACATTATTATGATAAGTATAATATATGAATAAAGAATGTAACTAAGAAAATTAATATGGATAGAAACTAAATATAAATGTTTGGAGAAATCGCAGAGAAAATCACTATTATTTACTAATATATCTGTATAAAAATATAGTATTACTATAGAATAATAATAATAATAATAAAATATGTTTTATTTGTATCAAACTGATAAATTATCCTTACCAAAATTCAAATAAATTACTAGAACTCTAAAATTCTCGAAACTCTTTCATGGCTTCCAATGTGGAAGACAAGATAGAGCTTCTCATATTAGGCATCAAAAACAATGAATCTGTATAATTAAAGAATGGTTGATTAGAGCATAATATATCTGTATGGTTGGATGTGAAAAGCGGGATATTATTGAAGCATGGATTCGGAGGATCAAACATAGGTGGGACCAAACCCGAATTCACCTGAATATCACCACCTCCACTTATGCAATTCTCCTCCGTCACCACCGACGACTCCTCGTTATCGTCCCCGGTCGTGACGTCCTTAACGGAATTATTTTTCTTTTCCTCCTCGGGAGGAGAAGTGTGGTTATTGGGTTCGGCTTTCGGTTGAATTGGACTGTTGGCGGGAGATAGTCCGGTCAGCTTCTGCACCAATGACATGAAGTTACTAGGATGGGTGTGGATGATTTTCGGAGAATGTGTGTAAATGATCACCGGGTGGCGCAGTTGGGGCCTTACACCGGCGGTGGAAGACGACGACAGCGGCGGCGAGGGTTTCTGGATACAATGTGAATCCTTGTTGATCTTCAGATGAGATGCGTACAATGCATTGTTGATATTGTCAGATCTCTTTGCACGGAATTGTGCAGGGCTCATTGTAAATGTGATCTACCTTTAAAAAAAAAAAAAAAAAATGCACAAACCTATAAGTTCTATATATATATATATGTACGCGTATATATGTGTATATAGAAAATTGAATATAAGGGTGTCCCTTACTTTATATGGACTATGGTTTGGTTGTTGCGAAGAGGGATGGATGGTAAAGGCAAGAGAGCAGAGAGGGATGTGTATATATATAGGAATATGGGTGTGATCAGCGTTAGCCGTTGCAGGATCGGTGAGGGTGTGTCATGTTACTATCCCAAGAGTCTAGATCCTATGCGGTAACAATACCCTGTTCTATAGACCGTCCACTGCAATACAACATGGTATTATATGATTATACTCGCCTGACAGTTGTCATATGGGTACGGTGGTCGGTGGTGTTGATCACACAGAATCCATTCCTGTTGTGATAAGTGATAAGGAGTAACAACTTGAAAAAAACACGTGTTTGAAGTTGAGTGGATATAGAGGAAGCAGTTGGAGGTGTGTCGATGGCAGAGTGAATATCGGCCGTTAGGAGGCTACGGATTGAGCGGGAAAACGAGGTTGAGAGTCCAGGAAGAAGGGAAGGTCCCTTTTATCAGCTACAGCTGTACCCAAACTCTGAAATTTTTTTTTTTTGTTCACACTATCAACTATATGAATATACATAATATTATCCACACAGATTTATCATCCATTTTTTTTTTTTTTGACAATGTAGAAAATATATTGATTGGCCTAATCAAATTTGCAAGTGTTAGATAACGTGGTTAGTTTTTGTAGTCAATTTTAAGTTGAGATTAGGGTCAAGGTTTAGAGTACACCAAACTCAATATACTAACACTGGCTCTAATTTGATAAGTAAATATCTACATATTATTTTTGATTTGGTAATTAAAGATTATATGTTCATTTATTTTTGGTCTACATCAATAAGCAGAATGTTATAGATTCTCACTAATGAGAACCTAAGTATTACTCTTATTATCTATATACTAAGAGGCATATCCAGTAGTCTGTTGAATTATTCTTTTGTGTAAAATATACACTGCCACCTATGAAGTGAAATTTTTTTCCATTTCCAGTCTGTTAAGATACATTGTCACATCACCAATGTGTAAAAGGATTGTGTATTTTACAAATCAACATATTTCCTTTCTCATCCCTCTTTCTCATTCTATTAAAGAATCAACATATATTAAGTAAGTTTATAAAAATTATGTGGGTCCTAGTAAGACACGTGATTTGTTATTATTGGGAGATATATTTTTACACAAAAGGTATAAAACAACCGTTGGAGATAAAATTAAATAATCTAAATTTTTTGTGTAAATCTATCATGATGCATCAGATTTACACAAAAAAAAAAATATACACAACGGTTGGAAATGCTCTAATACCTCCATTCTGATAAATCAAGTATGAGAAATTTCAATCCACTTCGAATATGGTCCAACGGTTTACTCGCTGGACTTTGGAGCTTAGCAAGTCCAAGGGCTAGGGTTCGAGTCCCGCTGGGTGTTCTTTATGGCTAGTCTCTGTTGCCCCTATAGTGATTTACCTGGCCTGGGTAGGGAGATGCCCTTCCGGGTTCTCGGGAATTAATCGAGTTGTTGAGGGTTCCTAAGGGTTCATGCCATTCCGGACACCCTGGGTTAAAAAAAATATATATAAAAAATTTCGACTATGTCACTTAAAAAAAATTACATTTAGAAGTGTTTGGTAATCATTAAAAGCTTATTCATTACAACTTTTGAATTTAGGTAAAATTTAAAACTTTTAAAATTGAGTTTTGACTTTTGAGTAGATGGTGCATATTTTAAGTAACTATTTTTTGGTATATTATTGTAAGATTATCAATAGAAGTGTTTTAGGAATGTTCCTTATAATCAAACAAATTAAAAACAATATAATTATAAAAAAAATACTTATTACTATGTGTCAACGTGTTTTTTATTATTTGACAATCCTACTAACAAAAACAATTTTTTTTATTTATAATTCTAACATTATTGCAAATGGTCTCTAAGAGCCAAAAAGTTAAAAATATATATAAATAAATAAATTATACACGTTTCATGTTTGGTTGACAATATTTGACATGATATTGAACATGATTCAAACACAACTTTAGATAAGTTATTTGGGATGGCTTAATCATGAATCGTAATTGCGTTTGACCAAAATTGAAGGACGAGTGGTTATAGCATTGGAGTAATTGCATATGGGTTTGTAATTCAACCGTTATAAGGGCACCATGTTGACGAGAGCTCTTTCCAATTCTTAGTCCGACTTTTAAAATATTTATTAAAATAATAATAAAACAATAATGTTGAGAACTCGTAATCAAACAGGCACATAAGGGACAGATTTAAAAATTCATTTGAGGGAAAACAAATTTATATAGAGAGTTTTTTTATAATTTTAGTGGAGGTAATTTTAAAATTTTATGGATATAAATATTAAAAAAAAATAATACAAATTTAGGAGTGTAAAATGTAATAACAAAAAATATAGTATTTTGATATTGTAACTTATCTCAAAATATAAATTTAACATGAAAATATAACATTTTGCATTGAAGAAGCTCTAAGTTTTCATTCCTAATCATCAAAGCTGCTATTTTATATGTAGTATCTTTTAATTTTTAGTTATAAAATTTAGAGTAAATGGACTTAGTGTCAATTAGATGTGGGACCGGTCAATCATTTTTTGAACAATGGCATCCATTTTGAAGCCCTAAGATTTAAAAAGTTTCCAAGCACATCTAAAATGACCATATAACACTTTGACTAGTCAACAATTATATGTGTTGGGAAACTTTTTAAATCTTAGGACTTCAAAATGTTATAAGGTCATTTTATCGGATGGTGAATGTAGCTTTGTAGATGTTGTGTCACTCCCGTTGTTGCTTTTCTCCCTTGATGATCTCTATTGTTGAGCAGTGGCTCGTTCTCAACAAATTTGGAGCTTGGTCTTCATTTTGATTATTTTGCTTCCTAATTTGCATTGTAAATACGCTATGGCTGTTTTTCTTATTGCCAAGAAAAGAAAAGAAAAAAAACAAAAGAAAAAAAAAAAAAAAACAAACAAAAATGCATGAAGGGTACATGTGTTTATAAAAACATACTCTAATATGAGCATCAATATTGAAATTTTATTAGCATAATAAGAATCATTTAACTTCTAGAAGCACCCATTTAAACAATAATTATTAGTATTAGTTGGAATAATGGTAAACGTTGACCAAAGCTACTCTCAAAGAGTAAACTTGTTATCTTGGCTGGTGCAATTTTTAAGACTTTATAATGATGGGTATTTTTAGTCATTAACATAGCTAATGTATCATGAAAAAATCAAATTAAATAATTAGAGGTCAAACATGACATGCATTTGAAATTTTACGGAGTGTCATTATTCAAATAACTTTTGACTCGCATTTAAATGTTATTAATTTTTTTTAAAGGATATCAATTTAATTTATCCTGAAACTTATTTCGCTCTTGAGCACCAAGCCACCAACTTGTTGCCAATTTTTCTTGCACAAAAAAGAAATAAATTAAAAGAAAATAAACAGAACCACCAATCATGTCTAAAACCAAAGCCTCGTATGTAATATGCAAACGTTAGACTATCACCACCATAGCTCATAGTATAAATTGAAATAATAGTGGGATTGACCACACGGGACGGGACATCTATGGGGACATGTGTCCGTCCATATTAGTGTACCATTCTCTAGCCTAAAGTGATTCATCTACACGCACTCAACAATACTTAGGACCACCATGGACATCCCTTGAATTCGAATTTTATTTTGTTGCGCCAGATGTCATCATCTGGTTCGGCAGGGTCGTCATCAATCTTTTCTAAAAAGAAAATGTAGGATGTGATCGATTTTGCATTTTGGCTTTTTACAAAGTGAAGAATATAGGGAAATGTAAAAATGACTATTCACATGATGACTCAATGGGAGTTCCAACTTTCTTCTTTTTGGTTCTCTGTGAGTCTCCTTGTTCATGGGGCCTTTGATCTTCTTTTCTTGGAAACGAGTGCTCAGTGTGTGATACATGTGGTGTCAAAATAAAGTGAAACGTGAATCGTCCCCCATTTTAACGCTATCTTATTTGTTCTGGTCTGCATCATTGCATCTATATATGTAACGTATATAGAGATAAATATATATTGTATACGTAAAAATGCCATTAGTATTATATAAATTATAATTTACTTAGATATTAAAAATTAAACATGCAATATTTGCCATGAATTTTTAATAATATATATATAAATGCTACCACTCTCCTCCTCCTCCTCCATATTCCACAGTTGTTATTTTGATTTTCATGTATATATATATATATATATATATATATATATATATATATATATTGTGAACTTGCCCCAACTCAAAATTGTTTAAAAAATCTCGAGTTTGAGGGTTCTAAACACTTTCCTGTGTATTTTCGATTCTCTGTCTTACTCTCAGTCTCACTGCAAACCAAAAGCACAATGTTGAAGAATAATAATAATTATTATTATTTTTCTTTTTTGGTAGATTTCAAAAGGCCGATTGCAAGAAACTTGAATCTCTTTTCAGCTAATATTGTTCCTTCTACAAATAAGATTTTGTTTTGGAAAAGCAAAACATAATTATATTTTGTTAACATCAATATTGTTTGAAAAGAAAAATATTTAATAGCGGGCATTAACAAGGTTTACAACACTAAAATTCGCCATGAACAATTAGAAATGTTTTAACTGAAAATATTAGTACCAATCATGACTTAAATCTTATTACTTATTATTTTACAAAAAAAAATTTCTTATTATTGTACATAATTGTCCTTTGTTCTGCCTTTATAAATAAACATACAAATTTATATATAAGAAAGAAAATGTCACTTTAATTTTCTTCCGGCAATGTTTTTTCTTGTAAAATAGGAAAAGGCCAATGATTGATCTTATCATAAATTGATGTCAATAACCGGATGACTTCCTTTTTGTGATGGATTTAGCCACTGACCCAACATAGGACCGGGGCGGACTCTCACTGAATTTGTTATATTTTTATTTTATATTTTAATTTTTTAAAATTTAAGAAAATGTCCCAACTAAAATTACAATTCTTCCCCACTGAGTTCCTTTTTTTTTTTATTTTTTTTTTACACATTAAATATTTAGAATTTATGCAGATGCCTCCACTAAAATTTTAATTCGTCCCACTGGATTAATTTTTTTGCATTATTTACTAATTTTTCAAAAAATTATAAAGAAAATACATTCAATTTATAAAAATAGATACACTGTATAAGTTTGTCCCCACAAATTAAAAGATCGACTCTCTTCTTACAAAATTTTTTGAGTCCGTCACTAAATGGATTAGTTTCATTCAACGGCTAACAAATTATCAGAATGCGCACTAAAATAAATAAATAATAATAATGTATAATTAAACCTTCGATTTCTAGAATTTAGTTGGAAAACATGCAAACAGAGTCATCCATTCTAGGCTATAGAAAGTACGGCCTTGAGACCAGATTCATAAGCATGTCTTTACACGTTTTGTTAAAATAACATTGACGTTGTTGAGTTTTCAAAACGGTACTCAAAGGGTAATAAAATAATATTAGAAATCAACAATGACATTAGTGCCGTAGAAATACGTAGTAGTAGAAATAATGGGTTGAATTCAAATGTTCACTTTTATTAAAATAAAAAAATATACTACATATATCTTTCCAATATTAAGTGTGCTAAATCTATATAAATTTAAAAATTTTATATATTTATACAAATTCTATATCTCTCTAAAGTAATATATAAATTGTGTTTAGAAATATGTAAACCCGTTTTTTTTTTCGGCTCCACAACACGCATCCTATTCAAGTCAGGAGTGCGATTCTAAAGCGAAATTTCAAATATTTACCTTCCGAATATCTACTAATACTGTTATACCCTTGGGTCACATGCAAATATTAATTATTTTTTAAAAAATAATGACAGAGTAATAATGTCACTTTACCAAACATATAATATTACTCTTTGCTCCACACTTTCCTTTATTTCTGAAGGGATGTAAAATGTTGGGCGAGAAAATATGCCTCATCCATCCTTTTTAGTTTTTCTACAAATTCTCTCTTAAACTAAATAATCGTATTCCATCTTGTCTTCCACTCTTTTATTCTTTCTTTCCTTTGATCAAATGTGTTATGTAATAATTAAAATGATGATGTTTTTCTCGTAAAAATATCTATAGAAAAAAAAAAAAATTTACTTACAAACAAATTAAGTATCCTTTTTTATAATGAAAAACTATACTAAAATTTATAAAAGAAAATAAATTAAAGAACAATAGAAGCTTCTATTGTCAAAGTATACCTATTCTAGTGATTCTATCATTGAAAACGACAGAGGTGTTTGATTTTACTATCCGTTTGATTTTCGCATAAACATCGTTATCAAATTTGCATATTAAGTTGAATCACACCATAAGTAGAGATAAGAAAACAAATTTTCAGAATATAAAACACATGGCATGAGAGTATAAAAGTAATAGAAAGAGCAAAACTTTAGAAACTTTTATTTGATGAATGGAAGGTGAAAAATAAAAAAATAAAAATAAAAAAAAATAAATGGGTACCGAGTTTTAAAAATATATATTTTATTTTTTTTCTTTTGTAAGTGACCTAGTGTTAAACACTCAATTAGAAGATTAAGTTATTATTAAGTGAGGTTAATATTTAATTTATATATATTTATTTATTTTTTTAATTAAATTCGATGTGAGACAAAATTCTACGGTAACATAACCTCAACCACTTTAACAAAACGTTGGGTGAACCCATGACATAACATTCTAGCTATGTGAAACTTTCTTTCATATTGTCCTATTTGTCAAAAGCGAAAGCATTGGTTAAACACTTGATTAGACTTCTGTCAGTGGAAGCGTTGAACTTGAAAATAATTTTTCATAGTGTTATGGTTTGCTAATCGAAAACCGAAGAATAGGGTGTGGGCTCCACCTTCTGATTTTTCGATTAGCAAATCATGTTTTACACGAAATTATAAATCTACCCTCCAAAGTGTATGGATTCGAGAGGATGGTCACACATGTAATAATTCCCACAGACATATAAGGTTCTTGTGCCTCATTTTAGACCTTGATCGACACCATAAAATGGGACCACCATAGTCGAGCGGTACGGATTTTATGGGCATTTAGGTTTCCAAGTCAGTGCATCAAATGCCAAGCTGGTGGAACAAAAACACGTGAAGCTAATCATAGTGTGAGGGACCACTTTGATTTTTAGTTGTACAGTCACATAATCTGCATGATTATTTGGTGTTAATTACTAATTTAAATAATAAGAAAAAATCTTTCAATTCAAGATTATATAACATTATTTAGTATTTTGAGTTGCGTAAGCTTGAATGGACGACTTTTAAAATTTGGTTCTGTTAAGTTTCATTCAAGTTCAATATTGGTGGTTGACAATAAATACGAAGAAAAAGTCTAATAATTCAAGTCAATGTTTAACCATTTATATATATATATATATATATACACACACACACACACCAATTTGAAGGGAAAAAACAAGAAAAACACGACTGAAGATGTCATATAAAAACCAAAAATTTTATATTTATAATAATAATTATAATCTTCCATCTTAATCAGGAAGGGTAAAAATAATTGAAGACACAGACCACTTACAGATCTAAACTTGTAGAAATATATTGACTATAATTTTTATTTTAAAACCAAAAATTCTGTATTTATAATTATGGTACGGAATACTAATTATAACTTTTTACTTTAACTAGCCGCTAAAGATGGATTAAGAACTCGAACGTAACATCTTAGTCCTTTAATTAATTAATTAATTTTTTTTTTTTTTTTGTGAAAAAAAATAAATAATCCAATTGATGTAAATATTACATGATCAAATTTCAAAAATCTTTTATTAGGAGAAATTTAAAACTTTACTACTTAATTTTGTATATTTTAAAAAATACTAACTTTTTCAACCTAATTATAAAATTATACTAAAACACTATTTATATTTTTTTATGGTCAAAAATATCCATCTAGAAAGTAACTATTATTATTTGTCTTTCTTACTCTAGCCGGGACCTTTATTATTTAATCTCCTATCCACAGAGTTTTATTAGGAGACCGGGAACAAAAGAAGAATGCTATCTATTGGATGGCCACGCAAACCGGACACAACATTCGAAAATATAAAAACCCATTTCCTGAATACTAAAAAACTTGAAATAGGGATGTACTTGGAACTATTATTTGCTTGATTTTATTTGAATAAGACTATCTTAAATTTCAATTTTTATAATCTGATGAAATGATTTGATTATTAAACCGTTCTTTTATAAGTCACTTATTTCTTCTTTTATGATGAAATTGTTTTTCCTATATGTTACTGTTGGTATTGTGTGAGTTTAGCTGACTCATATTGCCCATCTTATTGTAAACAAAATGAATTGATACTGCATTATTTAATTTGTTAACTTTCCGTTAAAATTGCCGGTTTCGGAAGGTCTGAATATTAACGGCAAGTGCAACATTGGAATATATATATATATATATATATATATATATATATATTTTGCACATTGGTGGAAAGGTTGCCCAAAGAGTAAAAGGAATTCGAGTCAGTTTCACAAAGACAAAAAAATTCCAGAAGGGTGTTTTGGATTAAAAGGTACATAATGGTGTTTTAGACAATAAAAAAATATAAATAATATTTTAGTAACAGTTAAACCTAATACTATGAAAAAGTTAATATTTTTTAAAATATACAAAATTAAATAGTAAAGTTTTAAATTTTCCCATAGAAAATGAGCGACAGCCCCATTAAAAGCCTCATCATCATCAGATACAGTATTAATTAGGGTAGAGCATATAAACGGACCTCACACAGTGGGATTAGATAAATAATATCTTAGTGGGGGCCACTTAATATTCAGACCTTCCGAAACCGGCAATTTTAACGGAAAGTTAACGAATTAAATGTCCTTAAACCACTTTGGTCTTAACTAAATAACTTTCTGGGCATTTTCCGAATTACCGCTGACTTAGATTTTTCGTCTCTCTCTCTCCGTCTGTCATTGCAGAGAAAGGATGGAGAACTGGTCTCTCAAAATTCCATCAGCTCTTCTTGCAGGAAAATAAAAGATCATTATCTGTTTGTTTACAAGGAAAGCAAAAAAGGGGTAATTTGCGTTGCCCCAGAAATTTATTTCCTCGTTTTCAGGGAAATTGAGTTCTGGGTGTTATTTATTTATGATTTCTAAACTGAGGATTGCTTGTTCTTTTTCTTCTGATGACCGTTTGAAGCCATGATTGGGAAATTTTAGTTGGTGCTTGGAAAGTGAAGTCCGTGAGTGTTTCACTTGAATTTTTATTCAAATGGGTGGAAGAAAGAAAAGAAATTTTAACGTGAATGATGCTATAGATTTTCTGAACCACTTAATGGAGGAAAAACCTCGTCTTTCTTTTGTAATTCCCTTGATATTAGTTTTTTGGGTTGTTGAGAAATGGGTTTTTTCTCTCTCCAATTGGGTTCCACTTGCCGTTGCCGTCTGGGCAACTATACAGGTAATTCATCTGTGATTCCATACGTCTATTATGTGCGTGTATGTGTTGTATCTATATGTGTCTATATATATATATATATATTTCTCTGAACTGGGCTTTTAGTTCTTCAGTGTTAGATGTGTTTACTTCATGAAACCATGCTTATTTTTTTTTATTTTTTATTTTTTTCATATTTCTATGACTACAAAAATTTGAGTTTGCAAAGACTAATCTCATTATTGGTTTGAGCTGTGGTGTTTAATTATTGGGTAGAGTATTTCTTTTTCTATTGTCCCCTGTTTTTTTATCTTCTGATCGGATGGTGTAAATCTTGGATTTTGATTTTCTACTCTTACGCAATTATGTTTCTTTCAGTTGCCATAAGGGCATTATCACGAACACTGGAAATTTGATGTCTGATGTATCTTTTCATTATCTATTATTGTTTATTATTTGTTTTTTTCCTCTTTGACTGTGAGTGTGATCTTCATTACTGAATCGAAGGGGGGTTAATTTGTGTTAGAAATTTGTACAGAACTAACATGAGATGTCAACTTTTTGATCTGCAGTATGGTGGTTACCAACGGCAAATCATTGTAGAAGACTTGAATAAAAAATGGAAGCAAGTCATACTACACACATCGGTAGATTTTCGTTTCACTTTTACTCTACTTTCCATCTTTTGATTGAGCCTCCATAGTTCTGACTTCACATCTTTTTGCATATTTGAACAGCCAACAACACCATTGGAGCACTGTGAGTGGCTGAACAAGCTACTAATGGAAGTTTGGTCCAACTACTTTAACCCAAAGCTTTCTATAAGGTTTTCATCTCTTGTTGAGGTGACTATTGTGATCTCTAATTCAAGTGATAGACTATTTTTGCTGTACTCTCTTTTTAGAAAATTTTCCCATCCTTGTTGTTTGGTTCAGAATTCAGCTACTGGAAAAGAGATTATGTCCAAATAGAAGAGAGAGAGGATGGAGTGGTGAGGAAGAGGGAGATGTGTTCTGTAACCACTAACCATAACCACCTTTATTTACACTTGAAATTTACCCCCCTTTTCATCAGATTTGTTCGAAATAAATTTTATAAATATTAGAATAAATGGTATAATAACTGTTGACTGAACATTTCTCATTGTTCTCTGTACTAGTAGAATTACTATTGCAATTTTCTTGTTAGAACTATTTGCACCTTTAGGTGGATTAGGTGGTTTACTTCAGTCCTTCAAACTATATCTACTGCGGAAATCCGGTTAATGTTCATCCCTAATACCCATTAGTGCATCCTCAATATTAGTTACTGAAATAAATAATGCTAAAATTTCTGTAATTATTTACAAAATGGTTTTATCTGAGAACAGCTGCTAGACTAACTTTGAGATGAATCTAAGTTTGCCCAATTTTGGTCGGATTAGGGGTATTGAAGCCTTGTTATTTCAACTTGTTTTATGATATGTCGAATTTAGATTTATCAGCTATTTGTTTAATTTTTTGTTTTTTTTCTTCTGAATATGTGTAACTAGATTGAACTTCGTGCTGATGATAAGTACAAATTAAAGCGTTCATGTGTACAACTATTTAGTGGAAGCAGTCTTATGGACTAATTCAGTTTCTTAGTTCAAAATTACCTTAACTAGTCCTCAAACTCCCACTTATGTTTCTTGGTGATACTAACTGTCCTTTCATACGTGGAGCATGCACATTCCTCTGGTACATGTGTAACATGCTAGATCACATCTTTTTTGATCCAATTAAGATATATCTGAAGTTTATTCAATAAATATGACTAACGTGGGGGTAGGGGGGTGTTTAGTACCCATGGCCATGGAGCCTGTGCTCTCCTTAAGGTCAGGCCTATATTGTGATAAAGTTTTACATTAAATGGATCTCCATTTTACTTATTTTGTCCTCAAGGGGGTATATTGTCATTCTATCTTGTCCTATGAATTCTCTTTTTCCTTTTCTTCGTATTTGCTTAAACTAGATTGGTGGGCAATAATTCCCAGAAGGAAATATATTTATTCTCTCTACCATCACTTGTGTTACAAAAGAAGAAAATGTCATTGTGTAAAACATAAGAACAGGAGTTCTTTTAGTTAATTAAATCTTTTTTTTCTTTTTTCTTTTTTTTCCAGAATCGGTTAAAGCATCGGAAGTCAAGGCTTATTGTAAGTTTTCTAGTTTCTTTTTCTATTTTTGGTATTGTTGAAGAAATTATAGCTGTAAATTGTTGCTTACAAATATTTTAGCTTTTACTGAACCAAAGCCATCATTCTTGTAGGAAAGAATTGAATTGCAAGAATTTTCATTAGGTTCATGCCCCCCTAGCTTTGGGCTTCATGGGACTCGATGGTCAACTTCAGGTGATCAGGTTCGGTATCTTGTTTACTTATGAAACATTATTCTTATACTACTTCCCATTGTTTAAGTCAAGAACAAGTTTTTTTTTGGTGAAACATCAAGAATAATTTGTAATCTCATGAAACCACAGTGGTTAAAATTAAGAGGTAGAATGATATTAGGAGGATAATATTCTACCTTATTTCATTTTTTCTATTGTTAGATAGTTTAGTGCCATTTCTAATTATTTTTTTTCTCCTTGATTTTCCTATAATATACATGTATAAAACTATCAACCTTGTTGTGATGTTAATCTCTTTTAGCATAACATTACAGTCCTTGCACATTAATCACTCAATAGTTAGGAAAAAGTCAATTTATGTTTGATCCACTTTTAAAGATTATAAAAATTTATCTCTCTTTTTAAAATAAATATATCTTATGGTTTGCCCATGCACCATTGTATACCCTCATATATGTTTCCTCTAGATATTTCTTGAATTAATTCATCCATATGCTCCCAAATTGTGCTTTGGAGTGTTCAGCTAGCCCTACTTGGGGTGTAAAAGATAAGGCACTAGGTGTGGCAGGGCAGAGTTATATGTGTTCACATATGTAGTTATCAATAAATAAATAAATAAGATGTGCATATATGTGTACAAGTTGATTATATGAATAATTCCATCTCTTTGGATTACTGGTTGTTATTTTCTCATCTTTGCTGAGGAAAATGGGTATGGAGATGCTAGTTGTATACAACTATACACTAGTGGCATATCTTCGTGGTTAGTGTCTTAAATAAGAACTGAAAATAGTGCAAACAAAGACATTGAAAGGGAAGAATTTGAAAAAGGAACAAAGTGGACTTGTAAAATCAAAGAATAGGCAAAATGGAAAATGAACTTCAGTTCAAGTGAAACAGTCACCTGACGAAAGTGAAATACGAATTGGTATGGCTGGAGACTTATGTGATGAAATAGTTAACACATAAAACTTTATTCATTCACTGGTGATGGTCTAGAAAAATTGTCCACTATCTAACAAGAAGCGGTGTAGAATAGGGCACACTGGCACAACATGGATATGAGATTTTTGATAGAGCAGCCTCAAATAGCTGCAATATAACATAGGTCACCGACATGCATTTAGTTCTTGACAAGGACCATAAGAAAAAGACAGAATTGTTCTCATAATATAGATTATAAATCATTGCTCGTTGATAGTTTTATTTTGATGATATGTTTCTTACTTCCTATCAAGTAATGAACTATAATCATCATCATATATACATGATCCTTTGATTCTTTTGTGTGTGTGTGTATCTAATGAAAGAAGCTCACAACAATAATACTTATGTTGACAGAAAATCATGCGCTTGGGGTTTGACTGGGACAGCACTGACATGAGTATCATGTTGCTCGCTAAGGTGGCAAAGCCATTCACGGGAACTGCTCGGATAGTCGTAAACAGCATTCATATGAAGGGTGATGTATGTAAACTATATATTTTATTTTCCCCCTCTGGTTTGCTTCCTTTATAGTTGTTAACTTGAAATCCTAAAGTCACATCTAATTAAACTGAAGAACAATTGACGTTCTAACTTTTTATGGTTCTTTTTGTGGAAATGGATGGTGCATTAATAGAGTTTATACATTCTTAAACTAAAACCTTCTAGATAATTTCATCTTCTATGAGTTTTCTTTTTTACTTCACTTTTCTATGGGCCATGTAACCATTTTCTTTAGGGTCCGTATGGTTAGCGTCAAGTAACCAGAAAGGAAAAGAAAAGGAAAATATTTAAACTTTTTGGACGTTTGGTTAGAGGGAAAGGGAAAGTTTTGGAGAAAGTAGGATTCCCGCTTCTGGAAATTTTCCTCAAAAATTTATGTGCATAAAACACGCAAAAGTTGTGCACTTTATATAATACTTTCCTACACTTTATATATTACTTTCTTACTATACCCATGTTAGTCGTCTTTCTTGATCTTCACTTAATTTCACTGACTTCATTGAAAAAAAGTGTTTATTTCTTAATTATTACTAATTTAATTGTTTATATGATCATGTATTACTAATTTAATTGTTTGTATTTTTATGTGTGCATCCAAAATTAATTTATTTTTTCCTTTAATTATTGAATTTTTTTCGAAAGGTCTTGTGTGTGTGGTTTTTTTTTTTTTTTTTTTTTTTTTTAAGTTGGTACTCACACACACATGCCTCCACCGAGGCTTGAACCCCAGACCTCCCTTTGGGAAGTAGGAGCCCGGTACCGCTAAGCCACTGGCTTGTTGGTAAGATATTTTTCGAAAGGTATGAAATAAGTAAGATATTTTTTTCTATAATTGATAATGAGTAAGAGTTATTATATATATACATAACTATTTGTTGATAGCAAAAGTGTTTGGTGAAACTAGTCTACATTTTTTTAACACAATTCGTTTCATACCTAACATCAAACATTATCTTGAGAAAGTTAAAAGTCAGTGCATGACTTTTAATTTTCTCAACCTTGTCAGAAAGTTGTAATTAGATATAATTAGATATATAATATCCAATTACATCATTTACAAATAAATAATAAATATAAATAATAAATAATAAAAATAAAACTAAGAAAACGAATTCTTGAACTCTGTTTGTCCACTTTACCAAAAGCTTATTTTTGTTACCTTAAAAAATAAAAGATTGAGAATTCAAGTCTACATAGGATGATAGGAACAAGTGAATATATATATATATATATATCACATACTATTCTATTCCATATTTCACTATTTCCTTGCTAAAATAAATAATTAAGTATAAATAATATTCATCTAACATAAATTTATTTATTTATTTTCTTAGTATTTAAAATTATAAGGGTATTTTCGGTAAGTAGAATCATTTTCTTTTCCTTTTCATGGTATCCAAACAAAAAAAATAATATTTTCTCACAACTTTCTTAAAAAAATTTCCTGCCAACCAAATACATGATGGAAACTTGATTTTCCTTTCTTTCACTTCACTTTTACTTTCCATAAAATTTTCCGTCTAACCAAACCGAACCTTAGGCCCTCCCCTTTTATGTGGGACTATTACTGCCTTTGTTACCTGCTTCCTGAGACAACATGATCGAGCTCCTGATTGTCTTCTCTGCGAACTTCAACATAGTTACAGCGATGAACATGATTAAGCTTAATGACAGACTATTTGGTTGTTAAAAATACATATCAAGTTATCAGCCAGGTGATTTATCATCAACTATTAAAATTCTTGCATTGTTATCTAGGTCTAGCTGTAAATCTGCAGATTTCTCTCTCCTAGATTATCACTTCTTCTTTTTCCTAGTCAAAGTGGAATTTGTTTTTTAAAATTTTTATAAATATAACAATATAATGTAGATTTGTGAATATTGTCGTTTCTTCTCTACACTTCGTGCAAAAATATAGAAAAACTTGTAAAGACTAAACTAAAAATGATATAGTGACAAGCAGGGTCGAACCACACATTCAAGATTTAAACTCTTGAACTCAAAATCAAAACCAAAATTCAAGGAAGAAGAACTTTTAAATCAATTTTGAATTTTTAAGAAAATAATGAAAATAAAACTAGAATTGAAGGGTTGTAATCAAATAATGGAAAAATCTCAAGGGAAAGAATCCACCCCACGGCTCAATATAAATAAATTTTTATATTTCTTATATGATTTTTTTTTTTTCTCAAGCAAATCACTTCACCGGTCCAATTACAACTTGGAAAGATAAAGGAAAATATAACATTAAATACCAGTTGCTTATATGAGAGAACACTTTTTATTTAATCTGTTTTAGCTTTGCTAAAAAAAAATGCAAATAGAAATAGGCATTCTTCGTAATACCATTACTTAGCAAACACGAAAAACCCTCCCTCTAAAATTTTCACATAAAAATATCAGAATAAAAGAATATAATCAATGCTCTCAAGAGAAAATTTCATAAAAGAAATAAACTAAATTTACTTATATTTCAGCCATGGTGGCTTCATCACTCCCTTGAGAGGAGTGTTTAAGCTAGCATACTAATAAGAAAATAATAAGAAAACAAATAGAGAAATAAAAACACTACATATGTCCTTATTTATAGAGTTTAGAATGGAACAATTAGAAGGGGAAAATTCTAATTACAGAAGTGAAAATAAAATAAAATAAAAATATATAAAATCTTTCTAAAATCTTGCTGCTTTCCAATTTGGAATTATATGCTTTCCAATTTGGCTTGATATGCTTTCCAATTTGGCTTGATCTTTGTTGATTTGATGGAAAAGCCAATTTTGAATTTGACTTTGACTGATCGTGTAATCTCATATTTTTGCTATTTTTGTCTCTTTTCTTCTCATTTGGAAATCAGCCCCTATAAAACATGAAAAACAAGGATAAACATATTTATGTATTATAAAATACTCTGTATTAATTAATCATTTATTATTGAGTACAAAATAGCAAGTTTTGTGCACTTATCACAATAGTGTACAAGAAAACAAGTAGAGGCATACCCCTACAAATGCAAAACCAACCAAGTCCAAAGCAAGCAGCATTGGACTAAGAGAAGAAAACAACATCAGTGTATGTTAAACAAAACACATAAATCTGGGAACAACAGACCAGAAATACCGAACACCTCCCAGCAAATCAATTTAGCCACTTCTTCAGCAGCTCTACATTTTCCTTCATGCATCCTAAGATTTATCTCTCCTAGATTATTACTCTTCCTGTTTCGATAGTTGCCCAAATGAACAGTTCATTGAAATGGTGTTTTAGGTAAGAGAAAGTGTTCAATATGAGCACTTCATTTATTTTGAAGTAACAATGTAGCAAATGGAACATAATACAAGTCTTATATACATAAGCAAATTATATTCTTATTTCCAAGATAAACTTCTAGCATACCCCTTTTGTTGGAATCATAATCGTTTGGGGTTCATTATTATTGGGGAATCTTAGTGGATGGAAATGGGATTATGATATTTAATCTCTCATTCCTGTGTACCAAACAAGGCCTTACTGATTGAAGTTTATATAACATGGGAAAATGTGATATGATGCCTTGTCTCATTAGGTTGTATTGACACTATAGCAAGTGTAGATCTTGTGTGGAGAGATGAACATTATATAAATCGTAAACTCGAATTGCAGTCTGTTTATTTTTAATGAAGCCATGTTTTTTTTTCCTAGTTTAATGAAGCCATGTTGAACACTTCATATTAAATCAGTTAGTTGCTTTATGGCTTGGAGGTGTTAGGTTTAGGTAACAATTTTCAACTTTAGAGACTAATGTCTCAACAAGTGAGATATCCATGGAAAAGCGTGCTCTATGTTATGAGAAAGCTTGTGAATTTAAATGGGTTTGGGCCTTCTTCAATCGACTGAACATAGGTTCTATCCAAATGACTAAGAGTGTTTAATGATCATTCCTTTCTTCGAAATTTTGTTGTTTCTTAGTTATCGTGCTTTATTTGGCTTTCCATTTTTGATAACTTTATTTTTTTACTTTTACTCTGCTCTCAGAATCTAGAGCGCATTGCCATTAACAATACTGATTGTAATGCATGTATGAAAATTCAACAGTCATATTTCACTAGATATATCTAACTGTCAATGGTTCTCTAATTTACATTTTACAGCTTCTCTTGATGCCAGTTCTGGATGGAAAAGCAATTTTGTACTCTTTTGTTTCAACTCCTGATGTGAGAATAGGTGTTGCATTTGGCAGTGGTGGAAGCCAATCTTTACCAGCAACAGAACTGCCAGGTGTTAATTCTTGGCTGGTAAATCTCTAAACTGATTAAATTAGAAACTTGAGAAAAGAACGGTTCTGTCAGCATGGAAATCCCGATTTCCTTCTTGTGTTTTGACTTGACGCATTACATTACTTTCTTGCAATCTTATTGTCTTTGATAAGTATGATACAAAATTGATGCAGATTGGCAGCATTTTGTTTCACAAAAGATTATTTCTGAAATTTGGTGTTGGGAAACTTTTGGTGTTCATTCTTTGAGCATGAGAAAATTGATACTTAGATGAAATAATTTCTTATCATTTTCCGTGGGGAAAACTCGATTCTGTTATTCTTTGTTCGATTGCTTAGATGATGGAGAGAATACTATATGATGATGGAATTATAGTTTCTAGGTAACAAGTTTGTTCAAGGCATTTGTTCCCTAGGAACATAAGCCTAGTTTTTTTGTTTAATTATTTTGGGTAATAGTTATGGAAAATAGGATGGTTAATATACTTAATTGATATATGTGTTCCTCTGATGATAGTAGGCAGTAGTTTACCACTGTCATTTTCATTGTGATAAATGGCTCATCAAACTGTGTGGATCCAATCATGTGTTTACAACCAAAACAGAGCCTCATGGTCACTTTCCAGTTAAATTCCAGATGATATGACATGCTTTTCTTTGTTGCAGAAGCCAATCTTTTAAAACTGAATTGCTGATGAATCAGGTTTTCTTCTCACAGGTCAAACTTATTACCGACACTTTAGTCAAAACAATGGTTGAACCTCGCCGTCGCTGTTTCTATTTGCCATCAGTAGACTTGAGGAAAAAGGCTGTTGGTGGCATACTTTCTGTGACAGTCAATTCAGCAAGCAAACTTTCTAGGAGTGACTTGAAAGGAAACTCTAGCAGGAGGCAGCAGAGCTCTGTTATAGATGGTAGTTCAGACGAGCACCTTGATAACAAAGATATACAGACATTTGTGGAGGTTGAACTTGAAGAGTTAACCAGGAGAACAGATGTGAGACCAGGATCAAGTCCTAGATGGAATTCAACGTTCAATATGGTTTTACATGATGATACAGGAATTCTTCGTTTCCATCTTTTTGAATGCACCCCAAGCAGTGTGAAGTTTGACTATCTAACTAGCTGTGAGATTAAGGTACTGCCTTAAAGCACGCTAACGCTAATTTTGTCTCCAATTGTTGACATGAACCATGGCTTTCAGAGTTTTCCGGTTGATGGTTTCTAGATGATGATACTAACATGCATTTCAACATGTGTGTGCATATCAAGTATAAACCACAAACCAGTGCATCGTAATTTATCATTCGTAAATGATGTCTCATAATGCTTTACCACAAAAATTGGTACCATAAATTTATCATTCATGCCATAAACTTAATTGTGGAAATTTTTTTTTTTTTTAGCAACTATTAGAATTTAGAAGTACTACAAATCATAAATTGGTGAGTACAACAAGAACATGTCTGGTCCCATAACTCATAAGGACTGCTTATCCGAACACCCGTTAGTGACTATATCTCCATCCTTCTCTCTCTCTCTCTCTCTCTGTGGTGTTACTATACTATATTGTTTGTCATCAGCTAATATAATTACATCTCTGGATGGATGAGCAGGTCAAATATGATGCAGATGACTCCACAGTATTTTGGGCGATAGGACCCAAATCCAGTGTGATAGCCAAGCATTCTGAGTTTTGTGGGAAGGAAGTCGAAATGGTTGTTCCATTTGAGGGAAGTCAGTCTGCAGAGGTATGATCTGCTGTTACCGCATTTATGAAATAGATGCTGAATTAGTGTTCTCTCATCATTTCTGCAAGAAATCAGCAATGATTTGATGCTGATTTTTAATTATTACAAGATTTAATGGCTAACATGTGAAACAATTATTATTATATTAGCTCTGTCACAATTCGAATTATTTTCATATAATTCTTTCACAATCATTTTTCTTGTCTCACTGATTTTTTTCCCATTGTTTGGTCTCGAAATTTTGAACTTGTTACAAGGTTTCTACAAACTTCTATTCTATTTTATTTTGAATGAAAATGGATGCTATAATAGCCCCATATAGACTACAAAGTGCAACTGCTTTTATTTATTTCTTTTTAAATGAATTTTGCAGTTGACAGTGAAACTGGTTTTAAAAGAATGGCAGTTTTCTGATGGTTCACATAGCATAAACAGTTTCCAGCTCAGCTCCCGTCAATCACTTAATGGTTCATCAAATTTTCCGTCTAGAACTGGAAGAAAAATTTATGTAACTGTTGTTGAAGGAAAAGACCTTGTTGCAAAAGACAAATTTGGGAAGTGTGATCCTTATGTTAAGCTACAGTACGGGAAGGTATATTGCTCTTTTTCCTTTATAAAAAAAGTATTCAAATTCGAAATATATCTCATTTGCTGGAAAATGCCCATTATGAATACGCCACGTAATGTATGAACTTGGGTCATCGAGATAGAGTTTTTGTGGTTATCAAAAAATTAATGATGTACTTACTGGATAACTTACTGTTCAACTCTAACAATGCTGTGAACCTTCCTTTCAGGCTGTCCAGAGAACAAAGGCTGTCCCACATGCTTCTAATCCTATTTGGAATCATAGGTTTGAATTTGACGAGATAGGAGGTGGTGAATATCTTAAGATTAAATGCTACAGTGAAGAAACATTTGGAGACGACAACATTGGTAGCGCACGGGTAAATTTGGAAGGACTCATAGAAGGGTCACCTAGGGATGTATGGGTCCCTCTTGAAAAAGTGAATTCAGGAGAACTGCGGCTTCAGATAGAAGCTTTGAGAATTGATGACTATGAAGGATCCAGGGTATGCTTTAATAAACATAAATCATGTCCATGATTAAAATATGATATATAAAATGTTAAGTAAATATTGTACTCCTAACCTGAAAAAGTTTAAAAGAAGGATATATTGGGTGTCTGTGCATACATTTTTATGTGCATGGTGTGCTAGTTGTGGCAATTAGAGGCTTGGCCTGCCAAATTTAAAGGCTGGCTCAGAAGTATAAACTAATGCAAGGCCAAATTTTGGAAATATTTCTACATGAACCTCATTAGTTCATGCATAATTCTAGCTTAGGTGGTAATCTTAGCACATAATAAAGAGGCACAAGTCCAACCTTTTGAAAGTACTATCATTTTAGAACTACTCAACCAGTCGAGACTGGCTGGTTTGGCTTCATTTTTTTTTTTTCCTAGTTGGTACTCACACACACTTGTCTTTTTTGAGACTTGAACCCCTGACATCCCTTTGGCTTCATGTTTTTTAAGAGGGTGAGCTGAAGCTTTGATCCAAGTCAACTTGGGTTGGAATCCAAGTATGTTATGAAAGTAATGGCCGACTCATCCCAAATGAACCCTTCACCCAGTCCAAAATTATTAACCCTTCACCCAGTCCAAAATTATTTTTTCTTTTTAACATCTGTGTCTCTGTGCACGCACACATGTGAAGGTGGTTAATGGACACTCAAGCTCATTTGTGAAAATTAATCTGGTGTCTCTTCTTGATCATGTTCAGGGTTCAAATATAGGTTTTGGCAATGGTTGGATTGAACTTGTTCTTATTGAAGCAAAAGACCTTGTTGCTGCTGATCTAAGAGGAACAAGTGATCCATTTGTGAGGGTTCAGTATGGAAACATGAAGAGAAGAACAAAGGTTAGCAATCCTGTAATTATAAAATATAACCACAAAATTTTCTAGCAGAAACATATTCTTCTAGCTTCCAATATGGTTTATCCTCTAAGATAATTTCGTGATAGCATTTCTCATGACAAGGATAATGGCCATTGTCAAACAAGATTCCATTGCCATGTTTTCCATGTTAGTTTTTTTGTTATTGATTTTAGTATTTCTAGTTTATAATTGCCTGTGATTCCACTGTGCTTTACTTTTCATGATACCAACGCTTGGCTTTGCACGAAAAAACTCAATACCAAAAGTCATAATGATGTGTGTAATTTTGACCATTTGATGTGAAAACTCTATGTGATATTCTTTAATTGAATTTCTCATTCATGTTTAGCTTGAGTAACTATGTTATATGGACTTGGATGTGTGTCAGGTGTGACTGTGTTGAAGCATTGAATTTATCAAAAATTAACCTATGGACATATGAATGCAGCTAAATATTCATATTTTAATAATTTTTTTAGAGGGTAAAAAATGTGTAAATATGGAGAATTCAACATTAGCATTTAACTTTGTTTTAAACTGATAATATAACAGAGGAATTTGAAAAGAGAAAATTCTAGAGTAGTTGAATTATTAGATATACTTGGGTAGGTGCATGTCTTATCAGAGAGCACTCATACCCAGGTATTGTGTGTCCAATACGGGTGCTTCATGTATTTATGAGAGTCCATATAACTTGGTGTGTTCAGAATTTCTATGTCATCCAATCATCCTAATCTTTTGTGTCTCGCAGATTTGTCATCAGGAGTTTCTATTGTATTGTCTGATCTTTCAATTTGATGGCATCCATACAAAGCAAGTAACGTGTGCTTATAGAATTTGAACATTCATACAAAGCAAGTAAAATGTGGTTAGAGAATTAGAACATTCATATACCTTAGTCATGGCCAGTATAGGAAAAACTAAAGTGGTTACTTGATAGTGATAGTATAAGATGTATCACACAAGTTTGTTTGTTGCCTTTTGATATTACTGTTGGATATATCACTACTTCCTTCAGTTGTTTTGCATTTGTTTTTAAATTTTTATTTTTTATTTTATTTTTTTCCCTTGCAGATTATGTTTAAAACTCTGAATCCGCAATGGAACCAGACCTTAGAATTCCCTGATGATGGCAGTCCCCTGGAGTTGCATGTGAAAGACCATAATGCTTTGCTGCCTGAATCAAACATAGGTGATTGTGTCGTAGAATATCAGAGGTTGCCTCCAAACCAGATGTCTGACAAGTGGATACCCCTTCAAGGAGTAAGAAGAGGAGAAATCCATGTTCAGGTTACAAGAAAAGTTCCAGAACTACAGAAGAGACCAAGTTCATCCTCTGAACCATCCTCAACCAAATCACACCAGATTTCTAGCCAGGTAAGGACGCGTCTTTGAATTCCTTGCATGTGTGTCATGTGGTGCAAATGGTAAAATCTTGGCATGCAAGCATGAGAGAGCCTGTCATTTTGGTGCATATCTCATACATGCAAGATTCCGAGTTTTCATAACAGTTTGAAATATAACAAGCATGGTCAAAATCAGCGATAAACTGTTTTATCTTTATAATTCATGATCGATAATAGAGTATAATACTTGACTCACTTGGAATTGTCAAGATATTCCCGAATTGCAAGATTTGCTGCTTTCTCTCTAACATGCATAAATCATATACTGGGAATAGGCTCATCAGATATTGGCCCATCCAATAAACACTAATTTTCCCATCCTGAATTTCATTTTTTACTTTTTCCTTGTCAATACCAAAGACCTTGCAGGTTTTCATCTCTTTTCTTGAATTTTTTACGGTGCTTTCTAAATTAATTTTTATTTAATGTAGACCATCTATTTGTACATCGAATGAGGGCTATAGTTTTTCATGCATTGTCATAAATCTATTCCAAGCAAAGTGACCATTCGTCATAATAATGACGAGTTTAAAGACCATTTGTCACAGCCTCCCTTGTCTTACACATTTTTGCTCGAAATGGTTTTGACAGATGAAACAAATGATGATCAAGTTTCACTCTCTCATCGAGGATGGGAATCTTGAAGCACTGGAAACATCTGCAATGGAGCTGGAAAGCCTCCACGAAATGCAAGAAGAGTACGTGGTGCAGCTTGAGACAGAGCAGATGCTTCTACTCAACAAGATAAGTGAGATTGGTCAGGAAATCCTAAACCCATCACCTTCCCTTAGCAGAAAATCATCCACTAATTGAACCCTTGATACCAATTTCATCTATCGAAAATAGTTGTATTTCCACTATATCCATTACTAGTAGCAAACAAATAACGCTTCAAGATCAAGAAGGATTTCATTGTTTGCGAGTGTCATGCTATGTGAATGTATTTTGTATATGAATGAATATTTACCAGCTTTTTAGCTATGAAAAAAGAAATGAAATGAATGAAATGCCCTTAAATATTTCATGGTTCTGAGAAATTTTTAGGAGTCTTAAAAACTGTATCATTTTTTGTACTGATATTTATTGTTAAGTTGAAATTCTTTTTATTTGCAACTGAATATTGATTGGGCCGTGGCCCGTGGGGAAGAATATTTTAACTCATCTGATTTCTGGTCATTAAGATGCTAGAAATTGTGGCAAAAAATAAAAAATAAAAAAACTAGAAATTTTTATATAATACAAGATTAAAACATACTACAATTATAAATAAGAATTTGATGAGATGCATTGTGTGTGTGAAAATAGGAAAATCAGCTGACTAAAACTCCCGTGACATGAAACAACAGTTTTAAGAGAATTACAAAAAAAAAAAAAAAAAAAAAAAAAAAAAAAAAAAAAACCACCTACCCCCACATTTATATGAATTCAAAACCTCTTTTTTTTTTTCTTTTTTTTTTTTTTTGTTAAATCAGTTATGAGATTACAGTTCTTCACAATTTGCTAATCAAATGAATTGGCTTTAATTTTTTTTTTTTAAAAATTAAAATAAAAAAATAGAAAATGGAATCCAATAGGCTCCTAGTATTTGGCAAATTTTATACTACCTGCTTGCCACAATATTTTAACATGCTAAGGGCCTGTTTAGTAACAGGAATTAATTATTGATTTCAACTGTCAATTCCTAAAATAGGAATCAAAAGTTAAAATTATGTCTAATAAAGTAATTCTACTTTTCAACAGTAAGAAAATACTTTCTCTATTTGTGAAGAAAAAAAAAAAGTGCCAATTTGATACTTTCTCTAATTTCTATACTGTAGACCGAAATTGTTTTCTATAATGTAGCTACTTATCCCACCAAAGCCCCCTTTCTTCCTCCACTTATCCCATCAGACGACCGACGCCACGCCACTGCAATTTTGGGTTCGGGTGATCAGTGACCGGCGATCGGCGACGGAGGGGATCCGTAAACCCTAGAAAATTCTTTGTAAAGGTGCTTTCCATCCTATTGAAAATTTGAAGTTTATAGACTCAAGATCTTTCGATCGTAACACGGTGTGGGTCTAGAATCTCTGACATTTTCTTCTTGTTATAGTCGAACCACTTTGCCTGTCCATCCACGTTGGCATATCGTGAAGAGTTTGGCATGACAGAATGGATCAAGACTCCAATGTCAACATGTCTAATATTTATCATTCAACCAAATATATAATTATTAAGTGATGCCGCATGCCTGTCAGGGAAAAAAAAAAATGCATGAGATTTATCTAACTCACACATTAAGTCACATAAAACGAGAGTCAGAATAAATTTGAGAGTGAGAGCATGAGAGCGGTAGAATTATGGCTTAAATAGTGAGAATTTAAATTAAAATACGCCCAAAACATGAAAATTAGAACGCGTTTAGAACATTAAAGCGACACTCGTGAAGAAGAATTGTGTGATTAAGCTCACAGTATTTAACTCACGCGAAACAAAAATGCGAAAGCACAAGATGGAAAAGAATGGCGCGAGGCTTTTATCATTTATGTAAAAAGGTCGGGTCGGGACACCGCTAACCATGTGCCCGCAATCCATTAATATTATATTGTCCGGTAACCGAGTAAATATCCAAATTTCTAGTTATATCTTATCCTCATTATCATCTCATCTTCAATACTTCCAGCTGAAACTGCCCAAACACCACCATTCAAGCTCCCCTCCCTCTCTAAAACAACATACATTATGATATTCCGACACGAGGAAGAAGAGCTTGTATAGCCGATAGAATTGGAACGAAGAACAATGACATTATCGACTGCGAAATTACGAGAACTGCCACTCCGCAATGCAATCCCACTCACCTCTCACTCACCTTCTCCTCTCCATTTCCTTTTCTTCTATTCACCCCCCAAATCCACTCTATCTCTCCTCAAAACCTTCTCTTCCCTCCGTAGTACCACCGAAAGTAACGGCCGTCTTAACAGCGTCTCCCAGAAGTCTAGAACCAATGAACAGCGCGACCCGTGGAATGACGAAATCCAAAACCCTAACCCTAACCCTAATTCTCTCAAGTCCAAGGGTTCCTCTGCTCCGTGGCTCAACAAATGGGCCTCTGCGAACCCTCCGATAGAATCGAATTCAAAAGTGAATTCGAAAGTGGTTGAAACAAAGCGGGCTGATGGTGATAATCAAGTCGAAAGTCGGTATTTTGATGGGAAGAGTGGGACAAGCGCGATAGAAAGAATTGTCCTTCGGTTGCGGAATTTAGGGTTGGGTTCGGATGATGAGGAAGAGGAAAATGAGGAAAATTCTTCTTCACCGGTGACAGGTGAAGAGAAATTGGGGGATTTGTTGAAGAGAGATTGGGTGAGACCTGATGTGATGCTGATTGAGGACAAGGATGACGAGTCGGTGTTGCCGTGGGAGAGGGAAGAGGAGAGGAGGGAGGCTGTGGCGGAGGACGGGAGGGGGGTAAGGAAGAGAATGGTGAAGGCGCCGACGTTGGCAGAGTTGACCATTGAGGATGAAGAGTTGAGGAGGTTGAGGCGGCTTGGGATGACGCTTCGGGAGAGGATTTCTGTCGCGAAAGCAGGGGTTACAGGGGCAGTTATTGAGAAGATTCATGAGAAATGGAGGAAGTCAGAGCTGGTGAGGCTTAAATTTCATGAGACGTTGGCACATGATATGAAGACGGCGCATGAGATTGTCGAGGTTGGTGGGTTTTGATGATTTATGTTATGAATTGTTTAAACAATTTGTGGACATCGTGCTTAGTTTTTCATCTATGGGGAAGAACCAAATATCGAATTGTGTATTAATATTCACCTAATTTGTTTTTTTAACAAATATGTCAATAATTGCAAATGTAGTAAACTTATATAAAACCAAATAGATTTTCTAATGCTACATTGCAGGACCCAGACTAACACTTCCAATACCACGATCATTGTTGAACTTCAAATCAGAATTTGATTTGCTCATGCAAATTTTTAGTTTTTATAAAGACTTTGTCATCTGTAGCTCTTAATGCCACAACTTCAACTAGCTTTATTGACTTTTCGTTTAGTTTCAATTGCTTACTGTTTGGCTAGTACGATATTAGTAGTTTCTGATTTTTTTTTTTTGTTTCAAACTGTCTATTGTGATGGTCAGCGTCGAACAGGAGGATTAGTTATCTGGAGAGCTGGAAGTGTCATGGTGGTGTTTCGGGGAAGTAACTATGAAGGGCCTTCTTCTAAACCCCAAGCCGTTGATAGAGAAGGTGACACACTTTTTGTACCAGATGTTTCTTCTGCTGACAATCAGATATTAAGGAATGGCAATGGTGCTACTTCGACTCTGGAAAAGAGGGAACCAACTCCTTTGGGCCGTGTTGAGAACATGACAGAAGATGAAGCTGAATTCAATGGCCTGCTGGATGGTTTAGGCCCTCGTTTTGAGGATTGGTGGGGTACAGGCATACTTCCTGTTGATGCTGATTTACTTCCTCAGACGATTCCTGGCTACAAAACACCTCTCAGGCTTCTTCCTACTGGAATGCGACCACGTCTAACCAACGCAGAGTTGACAAATTTACGGAAACTTGCTAAATCACTTCCCTGCCATTTTGCCCTCGGTATTGCTCATCTTCTATGAGTATATTATTTGTTTTGATCTGTCCATTTCTAACATCAATTTTTATTCTGGACTTTTCTACAAAGGGAGAAATAGAAATCATCAGGGCTTGGCAGCAGCTATAATAAAACTTTGGGAGAAAAGCTTAGTTGCGAAAATTGCTGTCAAACGTGGAATCCAGAATACAAACAACAAATTAATGTCCGAGGAGATAAAGGTGTGTTTGTCGTTTTCCTGCTCAGTCCATGAGTTATTTTCTCTTGTTTACCTTTTTTATTTTTATTTTTTATTATTATTATATTTTTTGGCAATATCAAGTGAGGTTTATGATTAATTGTGTATGATAGTCCAAGCTGATTTTTTTTTATTGCAAACTACTGAAGCAACACTATGATATGAAACTCTTATGAAATTTTAGGACAGTTGAAATTGTACCCCGGGGAGTGTAGAGAATGGCCCTAAAAGCTCTTTAAATTGATTGCCGATTGTGCATGTCATATATGGCTAGAGTGGCAAATGAAGTGAACTGAGTACTAAGGTGTTCTTGGTAGGCTCATTCAAACTCGGGTTATGTCGCAGTTCAGTTGGAGCTTGAGTCAGGTATCATCAGTCCTGTTGAAGTTTGGCTTGTCATTGTTCAACGAAGCTCAAGCTAAATTTTGAATTAATAGATAGTAGATACTGAATGAGTATGACTTTATATAGAACTTGAATAACTGTGTCGGCAACAGGGCTTTCACCCTCTTTCACCTGCTCCTAACAGCAGGAGAAAGGAAATAATTTTTGCTTTGTTGTGGCCTGGCTTAAACTGAAGGTTTTGACCCGTGGGTTTTCATTGCATGAACGATGAAGAATCAGATGGAGGGAAACAAAAGGCAGAGAAGATGGAAATTATTCTACTCAAAATAGTTTTCCCTTCTTGAACTCTAGAATCTCATAAAGTTTATCATAGACTCGTTGGATTAGTCAATTGCCCTTTTAATATCCTTTTCCCTATTTGTGCATATTTTAGGAACCTAATGGTGAAATATTGGCCATATTTTCATTAATTGCCCCAAGTCGCAGTTTTTTGTATATCCCTTGCACATGCTTGGGAGAAGTTGTTCGCTCCTTTGAAGATGATTCCTTCATAGAATTTTTGTTGGAACTTTGATCAAGGAGAAGAGAGGAAAAGTGTGCTGGTCTGGTTTCTATTTGGGTTTTCCAGTTAAATAGAAAGCTAATTTTTAATTTTTAATTTTTTTTTAAGGATAAATATGCATTGGTTTGGGAAGTTTTGGACAAAGTGCAGTAATTGACTTTGCTTATATTTTATCAATAAAGATTTTGAATAAATTCCTTTGAATTGTAATCTTCTAAATTGAATTATTTTTGGATAAATATGCATTGGTTTTGGACAAAGTGCAGTAATTAAGTTTGCTTAGATTTTGATCTCTAGAGATTTTGAATGAATTATTCTTCTAGATTGAATCAGTGATTGAGCATAAAGGTCATGCATTTTAATTATCACTACCTTGTGGGACAGTTGGTGGTCATTTTATTTATTTATATATTTTTTAACCTTTCAGAAAAAAGAAAAAAAAAAAGAAAAAGGATGGAAGGTCTTACTATTGATGCAGAGGTTTGGTTGATCAATCTTGGTCTCCATCATTACCTAACCAAAGGAGACTCTTAAGTCTCTTATACCCTTATTGATTGAGTTGATCCCAGATACTTGCGATCTTGGAGACTTAGTGAGTTTACGGGGGACATTCTTGACTTTGCTTTTCCTCTTGACTTAGTGGGTTTTCTTCTTTTCTTTTTTTCTTATATCAAGTCAAGTGGGAACTAGGCCTTTTTGTCTTTAATTTTTTTTTGTTTTTTTCCTTTCTTTTCTTTTTCTTTTTGTCTTTATTGAAAATGATAAAGATTGCATTTAATTGATACTATTTATTATTTTGTGTCCTTGGTGTGTATATCGAGCTGCCTATTCTTTCATGAAATTTATTAGGAAAAAAATTTCTTTTCTTTTCTTTTTTTGTAAGTATTAGGAATATATATATATATATATATATATATATATATATAGTTAAAATAGATCACCACTACTACATTAATAAATTTGACCTTATACAGTCATGCTGTGCAATTGTTTGGTTTTCTTCAACATGCTAGGGTACACTTCATTTATATGGAAATGATTTTTGGAAATAATCAATCAAGATGTACTGGTTCTAACACGTGAACTATATGACAGAAACTAACAGGAGGTGTCTTACTGCTCAGAAATAAATATTACATTGTCATATACCGGGGTAAAGATTTTCTCCCAACAAGTGTGGCTGCTGCTTTAGCGGAAAGACAGGAAATGACAAAACAGATTCAAGATGTTGAAGAGAAAGTGCGGAGAGGAGCAGCAGAAGTAGTTCCAAAGGGTGAAGATGGACAGCCACTGGCAGGTACTTTGGCCGAGTTTTATGAGGCTCAAGCCCGGTGGGGAAGAGAAATATCTGCTGAAGAACATGAAAAGATGCTGGAAGAAGCTTCCAGAGCTAAGAACGCCAGGGTGTTCAAGAAATATGAACATAAACTAGGCATTGTAAGTTCTCCCCCCCTCCCCCCCCCCCCCTTTTTTTTGTTAAATTTCACCTTGAAAAGTATTTGCGAATGTCTTCAGTGAGCTAATTACTATGTTTATGACAAGTGAAATCGTCACAAGAAACACCAATAAAGTGTGGCCCACACATATAGGTTTGTACCCAAGAATAACCTATACACATCCAAAAATACAATTGATAATATTTACATTATCTAGAAATCCAGAAAAGGATTCCAGGGATAGGTTAGTCCTGTACGATTCAACAGCGCGAGAAATTCAAAAAGTTGCTCTTTAGCCTATATACTGGCTTCTCTGCATCCTCAAAAGATCTGCTGTTCCTGCATTTCCATGCACCAGAACAGGAAAAGCAGAGCTGTAAGTTAAACCTTCCTTTTTTATTTTTGTTTCTTATTGTTACCTCTTCTCCAGCTTGGGAAGACCCCAGACTTCGATATAGGAAGCACCCAATCCATCTAAAACAAATTCAGAATAAATTGTCACCAACTCTGCTGCTTTCTTGCACATGCTACAGAAACCAAGAATAATTTCATCTCTCTTCTTTGATTTATCAGCTGTGATGTTTCTCCCTTGTGAAGCTTTCCAAGGAAAGAAAACCACCTTCTGATTTTTCTATAATTAATTTTATTTAATGAGCGTTGACTTATTTAAGAGCCTGGTTATAAGGCATTTGGAAAATCACCTTAAGCACCCCTTTTAAGTGTTAGAAGAGTTGCTGTTTTTTTTTTATAAATTTGCTAATGTCATCCAGGATCTCTCTCTCTATCCGCGTATGCAAATTAACTTAAATATTCTAACAGTTTTTTGACTCACAATTTTTTTATTATTTTTGTCTTTTGCTTCTTTTTATTCTCCCCACCCTTAACCGTCTTTTTGACTCATTAAACTTTCTTCCCACACCTTCTCCTTTATTCTCCTCAACTCTGCAAAATGGGATGTAAGATCTTTTTTGTGCTTAACTATTTGATCTGCATTTTCAGAACGTAGGAAAATGTTAAATGACATTGTATCAACTATTCAAATCATAGTTTCAGTGAGAAGATTCCATTTTCCTTGTTTATTTTTTTATTATCTTTTCTTTTAATAGATTGAACTTTCTTAAAAAAAGATGACACACGTGGAGTGACTTGATTGACCAAAAAGTCTATTATCATTGTGTTACTTTAGAGCAACAGGTCCCTGTTTTTGATGGGTGAGGCAGTGGAAAATATTCCCAAGAAAGGTTATGTGGCTTGCTCTAGTTTTGGCTTTTGAATGCATCATCTCTGTAAGGAAGGAATTGAGGCTTTCTATCTGATGGAATTTGATTTAGAAATGATTACAACATTAAAGCTTAGGCTTTGGTTTTTAGTATGTATGCCAAATGCCAACTTAAGTTGTTTACACTTTCAGCACTAGAGTTCAATTTATCATTTTTCTTTTCGTTGTAATTCACGGTTTCGTGTATTATATATATATTCTGTAAGTGTTCTGGTATTTTATATATGCTAGTAATTAATAAATAAGAGAAATGCCAGAAGAGATGACATGAAATGCATCCCCTACTATTTATTTGGTGTCTTCCCCTACAAAGGAACTCATATTCCATTCATAATTCCATCTATTATCGTTTTATCAGAATAAACAGCGGAGTGTCGAGGTTGAATGTTTAGTGCTGGTAGTTAACTTTATTTTATTCTTTATTCTTAGTGTTGCAAATATTAGAGCCTTGTTACACTGACATATATTTGACTTGGTTGGATTTTGAATGCATGAACAGGCCCAATCCAAGAAGCTTAGAGCGGACAAACTGCTAGCTAAGATAGAAGCGTCCATGGTTCCTGTTGATCCTTTCGATGACCAGGAAACAATCACTGACGAGGAACGGTTTATGTTTCGCAGGGTTGGTTTAAGAATGAAGGCGTACCTGCCTCTTGGTGAGTCATTTTAGTTTCCTGACGAGAAAGCCTTTAATTCTTGTATTTTAGGCCTTAACTACCAAAAAAAAAAAAAAAATGTGTAGTACCTTAATTGCACACCCTTGGCACCTTTCACTGGATTTTTATTTTTTCAAAAAAAGATTTTTCAGTCTACGATTTAGATTTTGGCAATTAAAAAATGTTGTGAATGGTTATGTAGTAGATGAAATTTAGGAAATAGTAAAGAAATTTTGAGAAAAGTACCGAAGTTACAAGGCTTGATTGAGATCCACACTGAAACTATAATAGAAGAGTCCCAGACTCATTGTTCAACTGAGAAAAACATTTCAATAACTTCTATCTCATTTTGCAGCTACTAGCTTCATTTAAGCATGCTTGAAAAGATTACAGACGTACATAATTCTCATTAACATGGTTACCTCAACCAAATTGGACTCATATTATCAAAACGAAGCTTCTAAATTTGTATGGGACAAAATGGACACCTAAAGGTAGATCACAGCGCAATTCTTGGATTTTACAATCTTAAATAGTAATTTTAGAATATGGAATTTTCTAAAACAAAACAATTTCTAGCAAACGGAATTTTCTTCATTTTTAAAATAACTCAACTAATTTTTCCAAGAATAGGAAATTACAACAGTCAAGAATCAGGACCAAGCACATACTAAACCCGTACACAAAACTGTTCTAGTCTGTGGAGTTATTTTTATATCACATTGCTACTGACAGTCTTGACACTTGCAATCACTGCATCATTTTTGAAACTATGTTAATGGTTTATGTATAATTATCTACCAGGCATTCGTGGTGTTTTTGATGGCGTTATTGAGAATATGCATTTGCATTGGAAGCATAGAGAACTTGTGAAGCTGATATCCAAACAAAGAACTTATGTTGAAGAAACAGCAAGATTATTGGAATATGAAAGTGGCGGGATATTAGTGGCAATAGAAAGGGTCCCAAAAGGTCATGCTCTAATTTACTATCGGGGAAAGAATTATCGGCGGCCTATTAGCTTGAGGCCACGAAACCTTCTGACAAAGGCAAAAGCACTGAAACGTGCAGTGGCTTTACAGAGACATGAGGTTTGTCATCTTTTACGTCCCAATGTTGTTATTGCTTTAATAATGATAATTTTGTTCATTTTATTATTGCTATTTTTTGCTTACCCTTGACTTTTATCTCACACTTTTTATTGCAGGCTCTCAGTCAGCACATATCTGAACTGGAGAAAACCATAGAGCAGATGAAGAAAGAAGTAGTAAGCTTTGCTACTTAAATTCTTGAACATGAGCTCCTACACAGTATTTGAACTTACTCTTGGTTGGATCTAATTTATTAAATTTTAGATTTATCCCACAAAAACTCAAAATCTATAGTTTTCCCTGTTTTTTACTTAATTCTATGTCACTTAAACTGTGCAAGGTCCTTGTTTTACCTAGGGCTGTATATCTGTAAGTATTTGGTATTTTCAGTTTTGTTTATATTTTTAGCCTTTTTGCCCTATAATAGTAGATTAATAGGGGGGAGGACAAGAAATAACACACAAGAAGTTTGATTATCCGATGCATTCTGATGTATGCATAGGACATACTAATATTTGAGCCTCCTTCGGAATTGATTCTGTCAAAGCTACATCACAAAATGTAATCGAACTTCCCTAATCGAACTGGAAGTATTATTGAATCAAGATGATTTATCGTAATGGGGGGTGGGTATAATCACAACGAAGCAAAGATTTTATGTCCACTTTCATTGAACAGAGACAGAACCAGGTTTATCTAATTTAATAATACTGGATTTATATTCTCAAATTATTAGAGCCTATTGCTTTTGTTCATTGTACTGCATATAGACAATTGTTGGTTGTTTAACCAATCCCTATAGACTGCCTAGAAAACAATCAACCACAGCCTATTGCGGAGGGTGTATAGTTAACTTTACACTACCTTTAAAAGGATGTGGAAGATGATTTATTTTGCACTTGAGCAAGCATTAGAATATTTTTTGGTCAATAATTCACATTTAATTGCTTTCACGGAAACTATGATTAACTTACTCGGATAAGCCCCTGACATGCCCACTCGCTTGCTTGAGATTATACTGGCCTTCACAAGAAACTTGCCAATCATTTGAGAGTGCAATATGTACGGAAAAAAGTGGAGCAAATCCCAGACATAGTTGAATATCTTGACTACACAAAAAACTCAGCTACAATGTGAAAGTATGAGAAAAAGTCTCAGTGACAATACCTTTGTTTCCTCAACTAGTTTGTCGTCTTGACCTTTCCTCAACTGACACATGTTCCTTTGTTGATGTAACTTACGTTTTATATTTAAGTTGGTCACGTCCAACGTTGTTGCAGAAGTTCGTTTGATAGCAAATGACCGATTCACTCTGCGTAGATTGACTGAACAAAGAAAACCTTCCACTGGCAGGCGATCGTGTTTTTTAGAACTGGAAGAAAAAGATGGAAATGGACTGTTCAAAATGTCACCTATACCCTTGAGATAAAGTGATGCATTTTATAATTAGAATTGAACACCTATACCTTTGAGATAAAGTGATGCATTTATAACTAGAGTTATTTCACCATGAAATTGTGTTCTCTTTACTTGTTATAATTTATTGATATCATCATTAAACGTCTTCTACAAATTAAGCTGTGCCGGGTCGCGCCGCGACCCGCTTTCGACCTGACAAACCATTGGAGGAAAATTCTCTGTCCTGTTTTTACTTGCGAGTCGTGGACCCTAATTAGTACTCTCTTGAAGCCCAATATATAAGGGCGTTTAGGGTTTGGAGTGGGTGGAGAGAGAGAGACACTGAAAATTGTACAGAAATAGAGTGAGGTGCTGAAACTTGTAATCTCCGATTTTACACATAGTGAAGACTTTTGCCGGACCTCCACCGTGGACGGAGGCTTTACCATGTATAGATCTTTGTGTGTGGTATGTTTCTGTCGTGTTTGATGATTGTTGCTTGGTTTCACTGCGTCTGTCGTAGCATAAGCTGACTGAAAATGTTCTTGCAAATTGTCCACAGGATGATTCCAAAGATGAGGAGGACGAGAATGCTCCGAACTTAGATAACAACAGCCAGCACAGTCATGTCGCAGTGTTCACCCAAGTGAGCTATTATCTTTGTAGTGCCTGATATTTGGTAAAAATAGTGAAAGCTGTTATCTGCAAATGTATGTGTGTGTAATATGTGTAGAGACATTTTCTGTGTTGATGGGGTCTCCTGGGATTTAAGTATGCAGGATCATCCAGGAGTACCAGGACTGCTAATTTTTTTCTTGGTAAAAGAAACAAAGGAAACATATCTAAACAGTGTGGATATTTACTGATTACTTCTTGTGCAGAATAAGGATGAAGATTTATGGATGGATTCTGACGGAGATGAAGATGAAAATCTCGACTTGGAGGATGGTGAAGACACTGAAATTTCAAGCTTTGAGAACCTTGATCATACTTCCGGCAAGAAGGGTTAAACGAATATGTTCTGAAATCATTTGCAGTGATAGGATGACATTTTTGTTATAGCCTGTATCAGTTGAGGTAATCCTAAGATTTTATACATGTTTGTATATATATGAATTATATACATATAGTCTTTTGCCAGCATAGGAAAATTTGTAGATTAATGAGCACGAGCTTACCCTATCCATAACATTAAACCACGGACTACCATGGCAGCAAAATAAATCAACTAGATGATTACTGCAGGAAGAATAGGCGTACTGCCATTACTATCTTTCTTAAGCCTGGAGTTGTGTTTTATATTTTTATCCAGCTGTTTTTTTTTCCCTTCTTCTTCTTCTTCTTATTATTATTATTATTATTTTTTAAATAAATAAATTTTTTCTCCAAACAGGTTGGTGGAAGTCTCGCACTTGTATCGCATCATGTTTGATTGCTCTCCCTTCGATTTATGTACAAGTTGATGCAGCTGAAATCCTTGGGATTCATTTTCATTCCATCCCCTTTTTCATTGGAATTCAAGTTCGAGTTCAAAATGAATAAGATACTCGGAGGGGGCATCGTGTATCTTTGCAACTAATGACCGTGTGAATATTTCATCGTCTACAGCAATATATTGGTACGCCACCATTTCTGTTGAATTTGGTCTCTGGCTGTAATCTCTTATAGGGAACTTCACTGATTTAAGTCCTGGATGGAAGTTGTAATGATTCATTAATTGGTCTCTTGAGTTTTTATGCTATCTAACGGATGAACTTATAATATCTGTAAAAGAGACATTTTTCATAGCTCTTGCAACAACTTTAAACGTGTAATTATTCCCATTGTAAAAAATACTTGATATTTAGTTTTCTTTGTCGGTAATAAATTTTAAGATAAATTTAATTCCCGCCTAATCTTCTCTCTCCTTATTTTGATATTCCATCTCCTACACTAGATTTGGTACGTATTTAGTGAAATATGAATATGAACGTAAACGTTCACTGTTTTCGTGTAATCCAATTATCATAGATGCCCATTAACTTACTTGAATCTTTGCAACAATTGTTCATGAATTACGTGCATTATTTAAGTTCTTATATTGGGTTTTCGAGTTAATATCATGAATTTGAAAAAATATATATATATGCTTTTATATTTAATCTTTAGAATCGGATTGCAGGCAGTTATGTAAAAGCATTTATGAAAATGACTCCTAAGAATAAAACAAAATTCATGTATCTAACCGACCCCCAAAAAAGGTAATGGAAGTGTTGTTGAGTTGACATTCAAGAAAAATAGAAAATAAATATCATTCTATGAGGTAGCAGTTGTGTAACAATAAATTTTTTTTTTTTTTTGGCCTGTTGGGTAACAATGCAACTCATGACTAATTTCAACCTTTTCATAAGAAACATATGTTAATTAAATACATATATAAGTGGAAAATGAAATAAGAAAAAAAAAATAAATAAATAATAGAAGGTTTTCTGCATTCTACAACTATTAAAAAATTTCATTCTCGCATTTCAAGGGAAGAAAAAAAAAAGGAAAAGGGTTGGGTGCATAGTTACATATTCCAGTTCGCTAGTTGTGGCATTTTTTTTTAGTTAAATTCGCACCCCAAGATGGTATTAGTTCTTTCCTCCGTAAATGGGAGGGTTGGGTATTAGAGCCTTGGTGGTGGAGAGATAATATACAGTGGAATAGTAAGAGTTTGTGTTTATTTGAAATTTTAAAATAAAAATAAAAAATATATATATATTTTATTTTTTACTTAGACACACATGTCTCTTCTGAAACTTGAATCCATGATTTCTTTTGGGAGGTAAGAGACTGACCATTGGCCTGTTGGTTAAAAATAAAAATAAGTGTTCTCAATATTTGGTTCACTTATTTTTGTTTTTTAGATTGATTTCTTTTCAATAAAAAGTTACCTTCAAAACTCATGAAATAATGTTATAATAATTGTTATTTTTTAACTAAATTTTCAGGAAATAATTTTTTTAAAATAAATTACCAAAAAAAAAAATAATAATTTATAAAAAACTGTAAGCCAAATAATTTTTTGTTTTTCAATTATTAACAACTGAAAGTTCTTCTCAAAAAAATTGAATCAAAGTAGGCCTATAACTTCTTACTTTGTGGCGACGACATCTCAATCGGTCTTAAAAAAAAAAAAAAAAAATTAATTTTTACTCAAACGAGGTACTTATGTCAATCGTGGGACATGCATTTACTATTGAACTATTTTGAATTTACAACTTTTGGAACCTCAAAACCAAACTAAATTTTGTGTGTAACTTGGAATTCTTAGTTTCTACTTTCATGCACCACTTGAGAATTTATTTGTTTCATTTTTAGCTCTAGCAACTATCTCTAGTATAAATTAAGCGCGGGTACGATTTCAGAAAAAATTGATTAAATATGCTTATTTTCCTCTTCAACAATTACTTTCTTCTACTTTCATGTCTATTTCTGAAGCTTAACACTTACGATTTCCTATAATTATATGGATTGTTCTAATTAAGTTTCTATTATCTTTACACTCGCATGATCAAATGAGTATAGACTTCTCATTCATATTTTTAAATTTATAATTATTTTTTTCGGCAAGTCATTTTTTTAAAAAATTTCAAATCCAAAAACCAAAATCTCTTATACCACCCCAAAAAATAGATTCTTCAAAACTCTGTCAAAGAAAACCGTTCACACACACACACACACACACACACACACACACACATATAGTAAAAAAGCATGAGGTCTAATTGGAACATAGAAATAGAACAACAGTTACTAGGATTTTACCCTATTTAACATATCTAACTATACAAATTGAGAATTATTAAGACATTAATTAACTTGTGGCATGAGCTTAATTAGCCCATCACATAGTGATTATAGTGTAAGAGGTCCAAATTAACATTGAGCCATGCATAGCTCCTCTCTCTTTAAATTTACTGCAGGAGCAAAGAAGTTTACAAGCTGCTAGTTCTGAATATATTTCAGATAAATTTCTTCACCAAATGGAGTCCAAATTAAATGGTTGCTCCTGTGGCTGTTGCTGCACAGAATGATCCAAAACCTTCGAGGAAGACCCTGTGAAATTCAAACTAAAATCATTTCCAAAGTGAGAAGGAATCCCTTGTGATTGTGGCATATTCAACATGTAATTATCCATAGCTGTAGCTTCTCTTGGTTGATAAGTACTCCTAAGCTGCAATGCCCTAAGAAGCAAAGGATTCATTTGAAGACCTGAGGTTAGCAAGCTTGAAGGCCATGGAAGTGATGGAAGCTGGCTTGCAGCTTCTCTTGCCATGCTCCAATTCGCGTTCATGTTCATGTTCATGTTCATGTCAACATTGTTATTGTTATTGTTGTAATCTTGTAATGAAACATTACTGATCGCACTTGATGAATTCGCAATGGTATTTAAATTTGGGAGCTCAATATCTCCAAATTCATTTGCAATCGTGTTGGTATCACAAGGAGAGTCTAGAGATCGTTGTGAAGATTGTGTTTGTTGCAGTTTCTTCACTGTTGTGCTCTTTTGGAAAACCCTACAAACCACCCATTCTTCCTAAAAAACAAAAAGGTACAGAAGATCATAAATGGTTACAAAACCAAGAATAATTTAATAGTAATGACAATGCTATATAAACCTAATTATCTAATCGAGAAGTACAGCTGATGGTTGGATGCATTGAATAAGACTAAAGTTGCCACCTTATTCAATGCATCCTAGAGATAGAAATCCCTCTGCTACACTTTTAGGTTAGATTATTCGATCTCAGAATCATTATTCTTAATAGTAATGCTATTCAAGCCGAAAAAAGCACACCAATTAAGGAGCATGGGAGAAAAATGACCAATTGATGCATTGATGTGAATCTCACAGATATTATCTTTTCAATATATATATATATATATAGTTGCATGTTAATGTACCTTCGTAGGTTTGAAAGAAACCTTGGTTTCTAGTCTATATTCATGCATAACCCAGTTGGTTTTTTCACCCTTAGGGGCTCTTCCTCTGTAGAATACCAAGGTTTTCTTCATTCCAACCGATACTCCTCCATGAAATATCTCTTTGTCCTTGCCTGTTGTTTTCCAGTAGCCTGCTTCTGTCGCTCGGTTGGTTCTTAAACCAGTTGGGTATTTTCGGTCTCTCAAGCTGAAGAAATACCATTCTCTCTCTCCCATGGAAGCTTTAGCTACACATCAAAATTTGAATCCAAAATTACTTAATTATCGAGGTCTGTGAATTGTCAAAGAAATGAGAAATTTTTATTAAAATTTTATTTCAACTCACTCTTGCACATACATACAAACAAACAAATGTATGTAAACAAATTTATATATACGAACTTTTTTTACGGGAAAAAAAAAAAAATGTATGTATATTCATATAAATTAAGAAACCTCAAAACAATGTCATACATTCCTAGACTCTTTTATATAGATGGCGAGAGACAAAAATGTTAAAAAAAAAACAGAAGAGAAAAACTTCAGACACATCAACAATAGAAAATGCAGAAAATTTTGGTTGTGTTAGCTAGGTTTTGTTGCACCAAATATCATTAATTATAAACAGAATGTTGAAGTTATTTTTATTTTTTAAAAAATCTCCACTAAGATTAAAAAAGTGAAAAAAAAAACATTGTTGAAGAAAAAAGAAAAGGATTAAAGTTGCACATACCAAACTAAAACCAATTATGTTCCGGAAAAAGATTTATTTATTTATTTTTGTGTAAATAAAAAGAGTTTTTATTTTGCTTGAGATTAATTTATGTTATTAGAAAGAAAATAAAAACCAACTAACAATAATAATGGAAATTACAATGAAAGTTGTGAATTTTGTTTAGCATAAAAGAACTTCAAAGAAAAAATAAAAATTATTGACAACCCAAACCCAAACACACACACAAACACAAACACACACAAGAATTAGAAAACAATAGAAACTTGAGAGATGAAATGAAAATGAAAAGGAAAAACATGAATCTAAAAACTACCTGGGAGGTCCCAAGGCTCGCACTTATTAAGATCAACATCTGCAATAGCTTTGGACGTGAAAGTAAAATCAGAAACCTTATGAGTTAGATAATAGGTGACGAGTTCTTCATCCGTTGGGTGAAATCTGAACCCTGGAGGAAGACTCTCCTCCATCTCTACCACGACGCGATCGATAAAAAAAACCAAACAAGATTCTGGTGATTTCTTGAAGCTAGCAGAAGAGCCAAAGTACGGTTGCACTGAGTTCACCTATAAATGGTGCCCCTATTTGTCTTCTATACAGACCTCAACCTTCAAGAAGAAGCAGCCATAGCTAGTCTTTCTTTATTCCATTAATTACAGCTAACACTTTGACAAAGATGGTGCATGAAGATTTAGATTTTTCTTTCGTCAAGAGAGATTTGCAACTATGCCACACTATTCAACATGAGCTAGGAAATTGGATTTCCTTAATTGCCATTTGGGATTTGGTGTTATTACTAGGAAATTGGATTTCCTTAATTGCCATTTGGGATTTGGTGTTATTACTAGGAAATTGGATTTCCTTAATTGCCATTTGGGATTTGGTGTTATTACTAGGAACCCATGATAGTTTCAAAGAAGTAGACTTGAAATTGTGTTTAATAATTAATTAGGAGTAGTTTTAAAAAAATTGTACTAAAAGGAATGGCAATTATAGTTTTGGCACAAGGGTTTGAGTCTGATTTACACCTCATAGAAGAAAATTGTTGTTTTAGTGGCATTGCCCAACCACCTTCACCCATTTCTACCCACCAAACCAAGTAGACTGACTGCTGCCCAATCGGAACATAAGCATCAATTTTTTTATTCACACTTGTAAGCTATCGTCAGCATCATATATATCATTACTAGGGTGGTGTGAATTGATATATTCATTAGGCTTGTTTATGTTTTATAAAAAATTTGTAGCTACTTTAATGAGAATTTAAGATGATACATATATATATATATATATATCATTTCTATATATATATATCATTTCAAATTTCTATTGGAAGTGTGATGATATGTTATTTGCTATCGATCATAAACAACCCAAAACCAAGACCACAATTAAGAAATAAAGTACTGAGAGATGCATGTCTCTTGAGAGAAAGTCATGAATTCTTCTTATTTAACTATTGGAGAAATAATCTTTTTGAAATGTGTAAAAAATCAAATCAATTATTTAATACATTTAAATTTTAAGAAATTAGAAGTCGAGCCTATGGATCTTCTCATGAGAGGAACTTCTCAGGAGCATTACTGTTATATTTAATTATATGGAATTGGAGTTTTAAAATTGAAATTGGTGGAATTAGAGAAAAGAAATTGAACTAAATTTTTTTTTCAATTCCACCGGTTCTAATTTTAAGTCTCTAATTCTATGCAGCTGAACATAGAAACAACACAATATATAAACTATACACCACACAATATATAAAGATTTATGTAATTTAGTATATGTCTACGTCTATGTGAAAATCGACAAAGAAATTTTATTAAGATAAAAAAAGCAGAAATTATAAATTCTCAACCCTAATTCCGTTTTTAGTATTGTCTCGTATTCATAACAAACTCTAATACCCATATATACTAATTCATGATTAGACTTATTAAACAAAATTGATAAAAAAAAAAAAAAAACAATATATATATATATATATATATATATATATATATATATATTAAATAAAACCATTTACATCTCAGACGAAATAAAATTCGGACAACTTCACATTATTTAGGTTGATAATAAAATTAAGCTTGTCTGCATGGTATGATTTGCCGAATTCATCTGTTAGGCCAATAAGGTTAATCCTGTCAATTGGTCTTCTTATATCGGATGATTAAGATCATTTGATTTGACGTTCAAAACTAGGGTATATATTATGCATGTGGGGACTATGTGATAGTATATATATATATATATATATATATATATATATATGGTGAGTGCTCATGGTTTATTAATTATGGGCAGATCGAGATTTACCAGGAGTGGTTAAAATGTTGACCAACCCACGCGACTGTCTTTAGAAGCTCTGATTTTGTATCTCTTTTAGTCATTACACCCTCCATTTTTTTCCCAATCCTAACAAGAACTTCCATGCATGATGCACCTAATACCTTACACTCTAGGTTTCTAGAATGTCGATTCTTATTTTAATCTTGTCAGCTGTGGGAGCATCTCACGAGGTGATTTACAATTCGATTAAAAACTTAAATTATTAGATATATTTATGATTCATTGTATCGGTCGATGTATCGTTATATATTTTTATAAGTCGGTCTATTTATATTGATATTTGTCCGAATCTATAATACTGTGATTACAATTATTAATGTAACTGATATTGCAATTGCAAATTATAATAGTATTAACACCCAATTTTATATGTTCAAAATCATTTCATTTGAATTCAATAAGAAATTAAAATGTATGACAATCCACATGATAACATTTTATTAATATGTTGCTATTATTCTTGAATTTTGAGTCCAGTAGGTTTTTTTTTTGTAAATGGCTTATATGACCCATTCCACTTATTGCTCGGAGGAATATAGGATTAAGATATGTGAAATTGGAAAACCATGATATTATCTATTTTAATTCTTCTTTGATTGTCAAATTTCTTCTTTGATTTTACATACTTTCACTGAGAGAGCAAGCTGAATGACAGCACATATGTATTTTTTTTTTTCTCTCTTTTTCTTAGTTGATGATTTTGTTTTTTTCTTTTTCTTTTTAAGTATTTAGAATTTGAACTTAATGTTGGCTGTGGTTGGAAGTATGAAATTGATAAAATTGAAAAAAAATATTTGATTAAATTTTTTTATTACTTTTCTCTAATTTTATTAATTTTAATTCCAAAACTTCAATCTTATACTCCCAAACACATCAAAAATATATATTTAAGCGTAAGGATACACAGTGGTGTGTCGGCAGTCGGCAATTGCATGTGTTATATACATGAATATAATAATAAAATTATTTGGGATGTGAACATCCAGCTGTAATGGGTTTGAGCCTTTTTAGTCCTAGTGGTTTTGACCAATACTCACCCAAGTTTCCTCATCTAACCCAACCCCCCCAAGGAAATGTGGCATCGTCAACACAATGGAAGTCATTAAATGGTTGTATAGTAGTTCCCATCTTTTTAATTCAATTCTATTTACCTTGCCCCAAAAAAAAAAAAAAAAAAAAAAAAAATTACCCTGTATTAGATTGTGAATACCATTGAATATTCTGTTATATAACATTTATTTTATTAAGAAGAAAAATACACTTACACATCAATGTGTCCATTTGGGGACTTTAATCTAGACCGTGAGGATAAATAGGTGTGTAATCTTTTTGTCAAATTAAAAAATAAATATTTACTATAACATTGTAATAGTGTTTGTCTGAAGTCTTTGCATTTAAAGTTGTTAATGTCTTGCAAATGTGGTAGACTAGTGTTAAGTGTTCCATATTATATTAATGGGTATAAATGAGTTGTGTATTATTAGCACCACCTAATGACTCAAATTTTTGAGTCAGACTGCGAAATACCAGACTCGTTATAATTGATATCAAAATCAGATTCTGTCCTTAATCTGGTATCACACTAAGTGTCTAACCCAAAGGTATTCGGGTGTGCTATCCCCTATAGGTATGGTGAACTGGGATAAATGAATTGAGTATTGTTAACACCATTAATTAACTTAAGCTTTTGAGTTAGACCGCGGAGACTTCCCAACCTGTTACATCTATCTAGTTTATAACATCCACTTTTTATCATGAAAAAGAAGAAGAGAAGAAAGAAGAAGAAAATTTCCACTTTTAATCACACACACAAGCAGCTATTTACGCCAGTGCAGTATTTTGGGGAAACCAATTCCTCTCCCACTGTCTCGAGTTATGTGTTAGTGTAAAATATTAGTGCAATTCACTGCGTATAACCGAGAGAATCCAAGTGTTATATAAGCAATGTAAAATTATTGCTGAAATGATGTGAATTGTTGTATGAGCATCACAAGAAGCGACACACACAAAAAAAAAAAATTTACAAAAAAAAAAAAAAAATTTACACAAAGATGATCTGATTTAGGATTTTGGGTGGAGGAAGGTCCTCTCCATTTCGAGTACTCTTTTTCATAGTACTCTGTGCCTCCCATGGTCAGCGGTTGCTTTGGGTTTATCTTGTTGTGGACCATAGGCTAGTTAAAGAAGTTCATGGCCTTGGCCACATATGGTTTCCAGGTTCAGTCCGTTGTTGCAGAAAGCAGTTGAATTTTGGGGCCCATTTGACTTTCACTTGGACCAATAGCTGCTCTCTTCTGGCCCACAACTATTGTTGGTATCCCAAGATCCATAGTTGTTATGTAGTACAGATTACATCTTTTTCCACCAATTAGATTTAGTGCCTTAACCCAAACCCAAACACAAAATTTGTTTGTTCCCAAATGAAGTTGTTGAAATGGCATAATAATACTAGTTTCTACTTTTTAAAGGGAATTAGAGGTTTCAGACTTTAAGCCTCCGTGAAAACATGTGTAAGCGAGTACCAACAACAAAGAAAAAGTAAAAAAAAATATCTGTCACCTTGTTTGTTGCATCAATCTTGAGTTCAAGATATAAATTTTTAAAATAAATTGAAAAATTGAAATTCCACTGTTAATTACTTTTGTTCTTAAAAATAGTGATGGGGTGTGATTTTTAGCTCATTAGGTGTGATTTTTAGCTCATGAGCTTAATTGTGAGACCCTCAAGACCTTGTGTCTCGCGCTAATAATTATTAGAATGGGTGATTCCAGTATATATATAAGATCGACTTGTGAAATTTAAGTTATAAAATTTTAAATTGATTGATACGAAATAATTTTCTACAAGCTAGTCTTATATACTTTTTCTAAGAAAAATAGTTGAAGGGATAACATAATATTATATGATAAGAATATTTCCATGAATTTCAAGATCATTCTTGACGCTTCAATATGGTCCAATTCCTTAACACACTAAAAAAAAGTTTGGATTGTGGAGTTTGAAAATGAGATTTGAGTCTAAAGAGATCACTTTATGTAATAGTGGGCAAAGACAGCTTTTGAGTATGCATGTGAACAATTTCAAGTCATCCATTGCTACCATGCATTTCCAAATTTATCTTATACTAACAAAACAAAGTTTTTAATGAATTTGGAAAATTGAGCTTTTGATTCAGCTAGCCGACATTGTTGATGAACGACTAAGTTGTTGACTTCTACAAAATAAGTTAATTAAATAGTATTATATAATTAGAGTTTTTTATGCACCAGACACAAATTAGGATGCAAATCTTAGTAAAAAGCATATATAAAGAAACCTTAGTGACGAAGTCAAGGACAAGAAGAACATAAGATGATCTCCATGAGAAACTTAAAATGACCAAAACACCCTTCGCCAGTTAGAAAAGGGCACTTCCCTCCATTAAGAGGCAAAGAATTTAAACATCTTTTTTTATCATTACTCTCCAAAACCCTTTAGATTTGGTTAATTTTAAAATTAATTAAAAATATATTACAAAAATATTTAATATTTCTTTTTGAAAGAACAAGTCCCACATGCTTAAGAGTTAAGAATGCTTGTTGCTTGGTTTTGGTCTCTTTTTTTTATTTTTGTTTTTATCATTTTTTTTTTAAAAATAAAAATAAAAAATAAAAATTGGATAGGATCAAACCTTTCTCAAGAATTAGAAAATCCTCCTTTAACAATTAAATACACACTAAAATACAAGGGTTTTTTTTTTAAAGCCAAGTTACTATTCAAATTATTCCTATTTCTTTTACAGAGGTGGCAATTCGTGTTAGCGTCGTATTCGTATAGACACGATTACAACACGAACGTGATCAGGGTTGACACAAATATGACACAATTATTCAAGACCCTTGACATGAACACGATACGATTATTATACATGTAACACGACATGACATTCGTAACTCGTTTAATAAATGAGTTAAGACTTGATACGATACGAAAGACACATGCATTTAAGTAATTAATTTTTGACAAGAACACAACACATTTATTATATATGTTTAGCTAAATGAGTTTTTTTTTATACGAACACGACATATTTAGCCAATCGAATTAATCGTGTCAGAATCATATTAGCATAATCAAATACGAATACAACATGTTTAGTTAATAGGATAATTTGTGTGACACAAACACAATTAATTTAAATTCAAACTCTTTTATCTCGTATCATATTTCATATCGTATTAAATATTGCTAACCCTAATTTTACACACTGTATTGAATATATAATGCATTGAGCCATATACTTATTGGCTTGACCTACTGTGTAAATCTCTTTATAGAAGCAAATCAAACGATTTTATAACCACGTGTGTGCGCGCGCATTTTACACGTCTTTCCCTAGCTACAACTACATTTAATTATCTAAACATGAAAAAAGTGATGTTGGCAAACCAGGACAAATTAGTAATTTTCAAGAAAGGATGTGGACCATTTTGTCATGGAGGAGAGGTTGTGAAAGCATTCAATATTGCACTCACTTTAGAGTCTCTTTTGCTTTGTGTAAAGAGAGAGTGGTTAAGAGACTGATTTGAGAGAGCCACAAGAAGAAAATGCAGTGTTCTAAAGAAGCACTTGCTAGTTTGTTCTACAATGTCTCCACCTCCTTTCAACTTCTCTTCCTCTTCTTCTACTTCACCTCTATTCTTCTTGCCAAATTCTTCCACTTCCTTGGTGGTAATCCTTTTCTTCAAAGGTACTACAAACCTCTCTCTCATGTATATATGTATATGTTTATGTGTATATGTTTATTTTTATTTGTTTTCATATCATGCAGAAATCAGGGTGAATATGAATATGGTTTGTTTACGGACGAAGAAGAGGAAGAAGATAATGGGTACTTTCATGTCGAGTGCACAGAGAAAGATCATCTGGTGGCTGATATTATTCGTGGCGGCGAAGCACTATCCTTTTTGCCTACCAGCAGCATCCAAGAAGATCAAATTTTTTCTGAAGAGATCTTTACTCACCAGCCTATATTTGAAAAATCTGATGACAGTTTTGTCACAGAACATTCGTCCATGTATAACACTCCGGTCTCAGAATCGGAAATTGATGGCGAAGAGGTGGTTGAAGAACAAATTCTAACAAGAAAGAATGTTTCTACTTATCATATTTCTAATACAAATAATGTTGAGACCACCTCTCCAATGAACATGGACCTAAACAAAAATGGTTTGGCAACTCATGACAGAACTCATGATGGTATACTATGTTCATTTTACATATCATATTTACTATATGTTTTTGTTTTTGTGACTTGTGGTTTTCATATTCGTTTTACTGCTATTAGACCTGATATTGCTTATGCTGTTGTTGCAGTAGAAAATCGTGATAAAGGAAAAAATGAAAGCATGAAAGTGGAGGCCAATTTTACACGAGATGAAAACTTCTTGATTTTTGCACCTCCCAAGTTGGAGACCAAGAAGTTCCAAATTCAAGAAAAGGATGACGATGAGATTTTCGGTGACACGTGCACGGTTGGTTCTACTTCAAAGAGCTCATCTGAATGGAGGAGTTCCATTAATTGTAGAGATTCAGGGACTGAAGATCCATTTTCATCTTCGTCGCGAAGAAGTTGCCCCAAGTGGGAGTCTTACACTGTATTCCAAAAATATGATGAAGAAATGCTGTTCCTAGATAGAATTAGTGCACAAAAGCTCCATGAGACAGGTACTTTCACTTGCCTAGCTCGTTTAAATTATTTGGACTGTGTTTAGTATTATTATCTATATAAAGAAAACAGTTTTAAGATTCGAAAAGAGTATATATTCTAACTCTATTTTCAAATAATAGTTTTCACAAAACATATATAAATAAAATTTTGAATTATTTTTATTGAAGAGTACTTTTCACAATGTATATATATTTAATCATAAGGTAAAATTCTCCGACACCCCTCTTCAGGTTTTCTTTTATTGCTAACAGTGTTAAAGAAAACTATTTATTTATTTTTTAACCAAAGAACACATTTTTCAGAGTCACTGAGGTCTATACAGGCATGTCCAAGATCGATTTCAGAAAGGATTGTTCATAAGCTGGTGACCAAAAACAAAAGCTCATCAGATTTCCGGCAAAACCCATATCATGAACTAGAGGCAGCCTATGTAGCTCAAATTTGTTTGACATGGGAAGCTCTGAATTGGAACTACAAGTACTTTCATGGATTAAGAGCTTCACATCGTGAATCTGACCCCGGTTGTCCTGCTCACATTGCTCAGCAATTTCAACAATTCCAGGTTCTTTTACAGCGGTATATAGAGAATGAGCCTTATGAACACGGACGTCGACCAGAGATTTATGCCAGGATGAGAAGTTTGGCACCAAAGCTGCTTCAAGTGCCAGAGTATCGAGGTACTAATGAATCTTAATTAAGTATTTCTAATTTGGTTTAATTCTAAAAAAATTATGGAAGATATTTTTGGTTTTAAAATTAAGTCTTCTTTTAACTCGTTTTCAGATTTTGATTTTTTTTTTTTTTTTCAATTTTTAAGTTTTCAGAAAACTAAATTAAGTAGGCATTTAGAGTTTTCAATTTTATAATTTTATTGGAGTTAAAGTTTAACAATTATATATATACATGTACTTACAGTTGTGATCGATTTGAATATTTTATCCACTAGTAATAGATCGATGCATTAACGGTCTCGAAGGATTGCCACACACAAAATATTAAAAAAAAAAATGTATCAAATTAATTGAAGTTTCTCAAGGCCAACTTTTTATGCACATGCATGCATGGTTCAAGTATATATAATAAATTTATTTATCTATTTGTTTTAGATTCTGTGGATGAACAAAAGGAAGGTTTCCACTCAAGAATATCATCAGCGTCATTTCTTCTTATAATGGAAGAAGCAATCCGAACATTCATGAATTTTCTCAAGGCAGATAGGGAGAATCACTGCCAAATATTATTGGCAGCTTTTTTCAAGAGAAACCGGAGAGGCTCAGTTGATCCAGCACTTCTTCTCCTACTCAAGAAAGTGAATAACAAGGTAATTAACTAATTAATTTCATTAATCCCAATATATTCATCTTCGAATTAAATATTAAAAAAATAAAAAACCCTCAATTTTATAATTGCTACTCTTACATTTTGACTTTTGCATATGATAAGCAGAAGAAGTTGAAGCTTAAGGATCTTCGCCGCACTCGGAAGTGCTTGAGAAAAAGAAGGTTAAAGGAGGAGGAAGAGAAGGAGATATTGATGGCATTGATTGACCTAAAAGTGGTTTCTAGGGTTTTGAGGATGAATCAGCTAGGTGAAGAACAGGTGCAGTGGTGTGAGAACAAGATGAGCAAAGTGAGAGTCTCTGATGGGAAGCTTCAAAGAGATTCTTCCCCACTTTTCTTCCCTGCACACTGAGCCCACCATGTTTATGTTGCTTGATGACTAGGTGATGAATGTGCATGACTGCATGGGGTTGAATATCCTAGCCACCCTTTTTTGTAAATATCATAAGAAAATGATTTAGAGGGACCCACAGATCAAAGTTAACAACATGTGGGTGACAAAGATTTTGGGAATCCATGAAAGAGGGTTAAAGATGGTTGGCTCTGTGATTTCATTGAACAATCAAAGTGAAAGACGAATGACAAAGCAAGGAACATGAAGATAGAGACAAGGTAGCTTTAGTGCTCTTTATCTTTTTAATTAAATTAGGGTTTATCAATTAGGGATTTCAGCTGAATTAGAAAGGCAAAGTTGAATCACATGGAGTGGAATAAAAAGGTAGCACATGATACACTCAATGGATAAAAGCCTAACTAGTATGGTCCCACTTGTATTGGATGAAAATAAAGACGAACAAATAATTTAATTGACCAAATTTGATGTGTCCAGCTAGAGTGCACAAAATATCATGTAATTACATATATAGCTTTATGTCATGTATATATTTACATCTCAGCACACAGCTTGCTAAGTCAGCTTTTCATTTAATTACGTATCAATATTTTAGTTCCTCTTGAGTTGGGGAACCTTGATTTTTTCAGCTGTGCATTTACCACACCAATTTGAAAATTCCTCCAATCACATGGAATGTGCTTTCTACTTCCAGCAAGATGGTCCGGATCATATAATGCTGGTCAATCACAAACAATTAAGTAACAAAATATTAAGTAAAGTTGACACATTTGATTGCATATCCTGAATCATACAATAATTTCTCGAATTTTATAATAAACTTGTCCAATTGGACTGCGCATAACTGAAAAATCGAAGAATTGCAACAAATCAATCAATAAACTTGCTCTCTTGGCCTTGGTCTATCACTTATGGATTAAAAGAACATAGAGTTTTCAAAGAAAAGTCTAGTCCTCGGAAATATACATATATGTTCTCCCAAGAATATGCAATTTGATTAGGGGAAGACTCCTACCATTGGAATTGAAAGACGGTGAGGCCTCTCGTCGAGTTATGAGAGTGTGGGATCTCCCTTCTTCTTTCTTGCAACCACCACCATTGCCACTCAGATAGGCTCTGATCGGGAGGAGTTTTGAATTTGGGGCTCGTGCTGCCCTGTTCAATCCAAGTTGAATAGCCGTTGAATAACGGTCTTTTGTATGTCATAGGTCATAGGTGGGCCAATGAGATTGGGCTTCCTTTAATGTTTCAATGAGTCTGTAATTCTGAGCCTTTTGTTTTGTTCTTTGGGCCACTATGCCCAGTCCATTCGTGGACTGGGCATATACAACTTGTTTAGTACGTATCTGATTCTATACCATTTGTTTACCTTTTGCAAAAAATGAAAAAAAATAAAAAATAAAAAAATTTCGGTGCAGTGCTCTGAAAAATAACGTCTAGTTTTCTTTCAATATTATTATCATTTTTTCATGAAAGTGACACCCCCACAAAACTTTTGCATATTGTGCTAGTTTAATACAGAGTATATATTTTCAACCTATAAATCAAATTAAACAGACAATTTTCATACAAAAACCCTCTTTTTTTATATAAGTTCCAACGCATGTATGATAAGCATAATTCGGAAGATCAAACAAGGATTTATGATTATACGCGTAGTTATTAGGCTGCAATATATAGCATTTGGTACCATACTTTTCTCAATGAATATGTCAGTGCCAGAGCTATATATAGATATGCAAATGCAGGTTTAATCTGATAGGCAGGTTAAGACAGTAAAAATTGAATAATCTAGTTCTCGATTCCCTCCTGCAAAACTTAAGAGTTAAAACAAGAGAAATAGGAGAAAAATTGGACATCCCTCTATGCACCCCAATAATTTGAAACATGCTTAAATACTTTTGAGGTACCCTTCGTTTCCGAAAACTCTTATCACATATTACTGGTGGAATTCCCACCTGCCAATTTTAAGATTTTTTTTTTTTTTTAATAGAAAATTTCAAATGAAGGAATATTAATAATTGAAATTCAGCATTATTTTGGCATTTATAGTTAAAACAGTAAATACAAAGGGTAATCTGGATGGGAACCTTATTGAAAGGGTCTTAAATAGTGAGTCCCTTTTGTTAAGAAAGCCGAAGCTGATAGTAATATATATTGTGATAAAAGTATAATCCTTCGGACCAAAAAAAACCTTACTCTTTTGGAGTGTTGGCCAATGAGCTTCTAATATGTAAAATTCCAACTTTTCGATGGAATCCTTGACTTGCCAATGAATCCTCCTCACTCATCATCAAGCTTCCGCGCAACAAACTTTTCTCTCCTGCTTTGTTTTGGTTGCTTCTGTTTTTCTGATCCCTTTGCTTTGCTTTCCATTGATTCCTTTGTCCCAAGATTGGAAGATGGTAGTTATTGGGGAGATACTTCTGTCGGCGTTCATTCAGGTGGTGTTTCAGAAGTTGGCATCCCCAGAGTTGCTCAACTTTGCACGCCAAGAGGGAATTCACACTCAGTTGGCCAAGCTCAGGAAGACTTTGTCCATTATATATGCCGACGACGCCGAAGAGAAGGAAACAACAAACAGAGCTGTGAAGCAGTGGCTGCAGGATCTCAAGGACCTCACCTACGATCTGGATGATGTGCTCGACGATTTCGCCACAGAAGCTCAGGGACGAAAGTTGATGGATCGGGATCCTAATCAGGCTAGCACCAGCACGGTACGTAAACTCACCCCTACTTGTTGTACTAGTTTCACTTCTGCTGCTGTTGAGTTTGATTATGATATGAGGTCCAAGATCAAGGAGATCAATGACAGATTGCAAGATATTTCAAGACAAAAGGATGAACTGAGTTTGAAAAACAATGTTGGAGGGATCAGGTCCGACAGAGTAAGAGAAAGATTGCCCACCACTTCTTTGGTAGACAAATCTCGTGTTTATGGTAGAGAAAATGATAAAAAGGCAATACTTGACTTGTTATTGAAGCAGGGAGAAACTAGTGATGATGGTGAAATCTCGGTCATTCCGATTGTGGGTATGGGAGGCGTGGGTAAAACCACTCTGGCTCAGCTGGTTTACGAAGATGACGCTCTGAAGGATCAATTTGATGTCAAGGCATGGGCTTGTGTTTCTGACGATTTCGACGTAATTGAGGTGACCAGGACAATTCTTTAGTCCATCAGTTCCCAAAAATCTGACTTTAAGGATCTAAATATGCTTCAAGTCAAACTCAAGGAAACTCTGTCCCGGAAGAAATTTCTTCTTGTTCTGGATGATATTTGGAATGAGAACCCTAACTAGTGGGATCTCCTATGTCTTCCTTTTCTAGCTGGAGCACCTGGAAGCAAAATTATATTTACGACTCGCAATGACAAAGTCGCATCAATCATGAGTACTGTTCCTACTCACCGTCTAAAGCAGTTATCAGATGATGACTGCCTATCTTTATTTGCTCAATGTTCACTTGGAAGAAGAGATTTTGAAGCACATCCGGATTTAAGAGAAATTGGTGAGGCCATAGTGAAGAAATGTAACGGCTTGCCTTTGGCAGCAAAGACGCTCGGAGGTCTCTTGCGCACCGAATTGGAAAAGAAAAGGTGGGAAGATATATTGAATAGCAAGATTTGGGAGATACCACCAGAAAGAAGTGATATTCTTCCGGCTCTTAGATTAAGCTACTATCATCTCCCTTCCCATTTGAAGCAGTGTTTTGCTTATTGCTCAATATTTCCCAAAGACTATGAATTTGACAAAGACGAGCTGATTTTGTTATGGATGGCAGAAGGCCTTTTGCAGCTACAGAATTTGATGGAAGATTTTGGGACCAATGTTTTCATGATCTACTGTCAAGGTCATTTTTTCAGCAATCAAGTGGTAATAAGGCAGGATTTGTTATGCATGACCTCATGAATGATCTGGCTCAATTTGTTGCTGGAGAAATATGTTTCAGGTTAGTGGATAATTTTGGTGGTAGTGACCAATTTATAATTTCTAAACGAACTCGTCACTTGTCTTACACTCGTCAAAGGTATGAAGTCTTCAAAAAGTTCGAGAGTCTTTATGAAGTTAAATGTTTGCGTAGTTTCTTACCTTTACCGGTTCATAAAGTGTCTGACTGGCCAGATTATCACTACTTAAGCAACAGGGTCTTGGTCGATTTGTTACCTAAATTGCATTGCCTACGTGTATTGTCCTTGTCTGGTTACAAAATAAGTGAGCTACCACATTTAATTTGCAAATTGAAGCATTTACGATACCTCAATTTATCTTCTTCTTCAATCCAACGATTACTTGAATCATTGGGTACTTTGTCCAATTTGCAAACACTGTTATTGCGCAACTCCAAAGCTCTTCGTACGTTGCCCTCGAGCATAATAAATTTAATTAACCTGCGTCATCTTGACAATGCTAACACTGAGCTGCTAGAAGAGATGCCCTTGGGGATTGGCAAATTGACAAATTTGCAGACGTTGTCAAAGATTATTGTGGGAAAAAGCAACGGGTCAAGACTAACGGAGTTGAAGCATCTAGTGCATTTACGCGGGAAGCTTTCTATTGTGAAGTTAGAAAATGTAATGGATGTTCAAGAAGCAATGGAGGCCAATTTAATGGGTATGCAGAACCTTGATGAATTAGGGTTAGGATGGAGTGAAGGCTTTGATGATTCTAGAAATGAAAAACTTGAAATGGATGTACTTGAGACCCTAAAGCCACAAAGAAAGTTGAAAAAGCTCAAAGTTGAATTCTACGGGCCGTGAGCTTTCCAACTTGGATGATGGGAAATCCAACATTTTCTGAAATGGTAAATCTAAGTTTTAGTGGATGTACAAAATGCAAATCATTACCTGTGATACCCCTCGGATCTGAGACGCGGATTGATCAGGCCCAGGCCCAAATCCGAGAGATATCAAATAATTAATATGTAACCGAATATAGAATACAAGATAAAATAAGAAATAAAAATAATAAACTGAAAGAATCTAGAAATAAAATCCTTTATAATTAAATACTTAAAACATGATAATCCAAAACTCCATAACTTTACAACTCGAGAATCCATCCATTGGACCCCTTATTAAAATTCTCCAAAAGATACTGAAATAATAAAAATAAAATCCAAAGCTATCATAGAGAAGATTCCTACATAATCGGAGGAATGAATAGCTATATCTGCTCTGCACGTCCAAACTCTAACCCTGGAACTGACGAGCACCTGAAAAATAAAGAAGTGGGTCAAGCCCACATGCAAGTCCTGATCTACTACAATCCAAACGGTAATCCGATACGCAGATACATTCTAGGAAGACTCAACAATATCTAGAGTAGTCCATATAAGTATATAGTACACACTATAGGACGCTCGCTAGTCCAGTAGGTCTGTTTCAGCCTGAATAGAAGGCAACATGCGAATACGCACCCTAAGGTGGGCATGAGTACCTAGACCTACCAGGGAACAACACCTATGTCCAGTTATCCATCCTAGGCAATATACACGCCCTAACCATGGTCATAAGACTCAAGCTCATACCACGACACCATATAATATATATATAAAGTCCGTACTCCTCCTAATACAAAATACCATCCATTTGTGTAGTGG